CATGGATGGTCTGTGTCTAACTCACTCACTCCACAATTAGCCCATACTCAAATGTAGATACAAATAAAAAAAATTCTGGTCAACGTTCAATACTTTAATATTGTTCTTGAAAATAACTATGACCCCCATTGAGCACTTTTCGCGGCCCATCGAGGGTGGATGGCCCCCAGTTTGATGAGCCCTGATGTATCGAACCACCGTCTCTCACCCAATTAGTCTACTGACCCCATAAAGAGTTTTATCGAGCCCAAGAAATCGCTGTTTACTTACATAAAGACTCTCAATTTGCAGTTGAGCAGAGTCAAATCACCAACAGAGAAGTTTTGGCAAAATTGAAGGAAGTTTTTGAGCATTCTGACGTGATTCTATTGCAACAACGATTGAATGAAATGTTAATCAAAATACCGGACTTTAATGCTGATTGGAGGTAAGAATTATTAGAATAGGATTTTTTTTATACAGATTTGCTCAAATATAGTTTGCAGACGAATATGGACAAATATAAGTCCAAATAACTTTTTTATTGTGCAATTTATTTCACATAGAAACAGGATGGCCAGAAACAAATATTTCATATTTCAAAAATTTTTTTTTCAAATATGATTTATTGAATACATTCTAAATTTGGGGGATGTTGAAAATTACATAAATCATAATATCCTCATGTTGATCATTACTGAAAACAACATAACATATGAGGTCATTGTTTTCTCAGTATTGTTTGTTACCAGTTGTACGTTTTGATCTGCTTGTCAGACGACTCAAAATCTTTAATTTTCGAATAAAAATGTTCTAAGTTAATTTTAAATTTCAAAACTTACTATATCGAATATTATGAATTTTGAATGTATTCGAATCCTTTTGGACATCCCTGCATAAAAATTGCTTTTGTGTTTTTGTGGACAAATTGGAAACTACGAGTTTGAGTAGCAAAATTCATGAATTGTACAATTGAGTATTATTGCCTCTTATACGCTGGCCTTTTTTTTGCATTTTTTTCTTCATTTATACTTCGTTTACTTTCTTAGTTTGACGGATATATTTCCCTACTTTGATTTCATTGGAGACAATGGAGAAGACGATACATGGTATTCCAGACTTCCTGATGAAATTTGTTTCAAGCATGTCGCTCACTTGTTTTCGCTTGCAGTTCAGTTTACAAATCACCAAGCAGCCTAATATTCACTATATAGTGTGATAATGATAACTAATCTTCTTAATATTATTTTAAAATTAGCTTTTACCTAAAATAACTTCCTGTATATGTATTTAATCGTGTTTTTAATTGAAGCTTTTTCTAAACATGGGTCGGTAACGACTCCATGGCATGCTTCATCTTTGTCCATGCTTGGTTTGATAATAAGTATGTTTATTCTAATACCATTTTTTTTTATCTTTTCCATCATGCAAAATAAAAACATGTGTGTGCTACTTTGGTATGCGATCTCAACAGGTTGGAACTGGATTCTATGAGAATTTCTTTAAACGCCATCGAGATCGCATACTAAATGGTATCAACATATGTTTATTTATAATTGACGAAAATAGGCATCTTGCCTAACTCTTCACTATATTTTGATTTCTAGCTTGTTTATGTAACACCTGATCCTGTATATACTTCTGATTGTATTGTACTATAATAGACTATTAGTGAATGTTCCTTTGAAAAAAATGTCGAGTCCACTGCAAATTAGGCATACTTTGTTTGACAAACTGACCATCTCACTCATGTCCTGTGAATTGATGTATGCAAGAAAAGCTCTAAGCAAGTGAGATTTTATAGATAGATTTATTGATTTGTCAACCAAAAACACATAAATGAAAAGCATACATACAAATAAATATCCATCCATCTTAGCATGAAACGTTGATACAGTTAATGTTATTTATACCTTTATTAAGTTACATTAATCAAAAATGATATTATTGAATGAATGAACCCATTGTCACCCAAAGGTTCTGTCTATAGCCGTTCATTGTGACAATGACATTTTATAATTTACTGTTTTACATCTATGCAGTGAGCTGATCTCACAATGGCATATTCAGAAACTGCGTGTTGGATCTTTTTGTCTTACTTTTTCCGCATTCCTAGTCGGTTTGTTTGTAAATTGACATCCCCCTGTATTTGTGTGTCTTTTTAAGCTGTAATTTCAAGCTGTAATTTTCAGCAATGATGCTATCCATTCCATAGTATACTATGCTCCTATAATTTCTTCAGAGAGTTAGCTCAATAAAATGCTCCTAATTAGAGTTCTGTTGAAGTGTTACCTTGTGAGCGGGACGTTTTCTTCATGATATTCAATTTGAACATAGTTTTGCCAGAGCAGATTCGTAATCTAATGTGCAGCAATAGAAATGACTTTTGTCTGGTGTTAGCGATAGATACCGCCATGAAATAGCGCTTCAGGTATGATTTCTTATATATCAGGTGTGGCCACACACATCAATATAATTCAGTTAAGAAAATAATTAAAAGGCGCATTTACAATGAAGTGGGAGTGTGCGTTCATAGGTTGGGAGTAAATTTGGAAAAATGTGTAGTGTCGCGAGGTTTGACTGTGATATATTGGAACCCACTTGAGAAACCTATATATATTTTTGGTAACGGAAGTAATTGCATACAAGAGTTTGTAATTGGTTATTAGGAGACAAGAAATACACGACCGTAATACATTTACGTGTTAGAAGAACGAAGGAAAATATATATTAGCATTAAAGAATATATTACATATAATCAAATTATAGAGTTTAAACCATAGTTCCAAAAGTTTTAATAAAATGTAGTCATCTCAAAATAATAGTAAGAATTAAATATATTCTTGCGAATATTTCTCCGATTAGAGTATGGAATATGACTGGGTAAGTGATAGAGGTTAGTACAGTATTGTCGATTGAAATGCTGTTGTACATATATGGAACGTGTTTTGTCCCTGAAATTTTTTTTTTTGAATTATATGGTTCCTCAGGTACCTACCTGGAAAAAAGAACACCGTTTCGTGGCATTGGAATGTAACCAGCATTAAAAAGAAACACGACGTGTAGTAACTGCCGCGTTTTGGCTCAGTTCCCGCTTACCCATATTGGGGTGATCGGTCATAAATTGATGGCTACACACTCTTGAGACGCCATCATGGCAATCCGTAAATGAGGTCCGGAAAATCTTAGAACCTCAAAATGATCAGCTTTTGAAATTAAGCAAGCGATGATCTTTTACGAAAAATAATTTCAATTATAGATTACTCTATAAATATCTATGTGTAGGATTAATTTCATTTGATGTTGGTACATTGTTTTTGTATGCTAAATTTCACATGTGTTTTTTTGAGTGAGCATATTCGGGGCTCACAGTTGGTGACAAAACAGCTAGCGATCACATTTGGGCTTTTATTTCAAGAAATTATCCCAAAATTTTGGAATATTATACAACTTGAGGCACATTTAGAACCCTAAAACAATCAAATTAGGTTATTGAAAACGGGGTGGACCTATGAATCGTTTGGTATTATGTTGTAGTTCTTGTTACTTTGTGTGTCAATATGGCGTACCTCATCGGTTCTTACACTATTTGTTCGTGTGGCGCCAAATTACCAAGGAAAAAACGTGTATATTTTTTTTTTTAAAGTTTGTGAACATGTAGGCAATGTCAACAAAACAATATAACATTTACACTTATTTATTTATTTACACTCCTTCTTTGCTTTTGTTCGGTGGATCCGTATGCATATAATGCAAGGGTAAAGATAACTATCCTAAGTGATTCAAAAGTCTTTCGTCACACTAACACAAATATATATATTTGAGTAGCGTTTCGTCTGACCAAGGTCAGAATTTTTCAGACATATACATCCTTGCATTACATGCATACGGATCCACTAGCGCAAAGGCATAGAGAAAGGATTGGGAGTTAGTCTCGCGCAACCTCTACTGATCGTTATATATACGTCGAGTCGAAAATTTCTTAAATATGGAGTTTGAATTAATCCGGGGCCGAAATTGTTTATTACATTTTCAAGATTCGGAGTATAGCATAAATTTCGCGGACTTTCCGCAACCATATGCAAAACAGTCTGCGATGATAGTCGGAACAAACTGAATGGCAAACGCGACTTCTTATAGCCGCAGGCAAATACTATATGTTCAAATCTAGGCAGATTGTAACTTTAACAAATTATACCGGTTTAGAAAGATATCCACTATTTAGCATGAAGCTTTTATCGTTTGCGAGTGAAAGAGCATACAGCTCAATAACTTAACCAAATTCGTGTTTTGATTTCATCAGGCAGTTGATGTCTTGCTTAGTGTTGGTTTGGCTGCGGTTATGCCTCATATATATATATATATATATAAATATACTAGTTAGTCGGAAATCAGTGTGTTGAATGTCATTCATATATCTTTTTGATTTGTTCAGACTAGTTTATATAGATAAAAGTAGTGGTTATGACGAGTTTTTTTCAATCAATAATAAGAAGTGTCCACGTCAATTGGAAGTTTGACATTGCTTAGTCTCGATAGTGATTTACATGAACAGGTAACCAGCATTGGATTTTCCAGTTAACTTACGTTTTTTGCAATTCGGAAACTACTTCTAAAAGGCCTGACCACGGTTCTACTGATTTGCTTGTCGGCCGTTTTGCTAAATTGTTCTTGTTAGGGTTGCGAAGAAAATCGCATTTCACTAATAGACCATTCGATTTCAATTTTTCAGATGGAAGGAGGTCATAATGAAAGTAGTCATAGGTGTTATGCTGGCGCTTACAAACCGGTTAAACTATTCATATCCATCATTTTGATTCAATATTTAACCACTTCCCATTCAAAATCACTGATAGTTAATTTTAGCCTAGTCTATCATAGCTTTGTCTGGACTAACTTTTGATCACTGAACTATGTCTGTCGAAATACAAAATTATTATTGAGGTATCCAATTTATACCTAAAACTGACGAATATCACGCCAGACAATCTGTCTGAGCGGCTGCTGAAATTTCATTTGTTATGTCACCGTTAACATCTGATCAGCCGATGTTAAACGAGGGTAAATCAGGACGATGCTCGAGGAAACATTCATCACCACCCGAAAATAATTCCTGCAGTTCAGCCTTTGAAGGGCCACTTAATTTGAATATTGTTTTTGTTATTAAATATTATCTAGAAATCATGAAGCCAGTTGTTAGATACAGCGCCATTTTGGTCATTTCTGTTTCCTTATTTTTAGTTAGTTTCGTATACTGGACCGCACACAATTCAATCCTTTCAATTGACTATCGACATAATAAAAATCTAACAACCTTGGACCAATATTTCTCTTCCACTCAAAATACTACCAATGAAGCAATTACCGCTACAGCTGTGAGCACTGTAACACCCACATCAACTAGAACGAGTATAGCCGGTAACGACGCCACACCAGAATTACCGGTGGACAAAATAAAAAACGTATTCTATAATCGAGTGGGTAAGTGTGGAAGTAGATCATTGATTAAACTGGTTCGAGTTTTGAAGATTTTGAATAAATTCAATGAATCCCACTCAAATGATTATGCCAATGATCATCCGAATAGTACGGAGGTGGAAACTGAAATGAAGAAAATTGCTCATCTTAAACCGCCGTCATTTTATAACCGACATATTCATTTTATTGACTTTGAAAAACATGGTATTGAGCAACCAATTTATATTAATATGATACGCGACCCAATACAACGATTCTCATCTCAGTACAATTACATGAAATACGGTGATGCTATTGGCAAAGTTTCGCATCCGAAACATGACTTACCAGATATAAACGATTGTGTCATGCAGAACATTTCGCTATGTAATAATACGATGTTCATGTTTTACACTGGTCTATATTTTTGTGGATTCGAGGATATCTGCTTACATGAATCACGTGGTAGAGTTGAATTAGCTAAAAAGCACATTGATGAAAAATACTTAGCAATTGGATTAACAGAAGAATTTGAGGATACTTTGAAGCTATTTGAAACAATGCTTCCCAGCTATTTCAGAAGCGCAGTCAAAATATGGGAACAAAAAAGCAAATTATGGCAGAAGAGAACAACAACCAAAAGGAGGGAGATTTTGACTGAAGCTTCAATTGACAAGTTAAAGAATTCTCTCTTGTTAGATGAATATGAAGTTTACAATCACGGTCGGAAAAAATTTGAACGACTCAAGAAGAAGTATGGAATTCAATGATTAAAAACAGTCTTGAACGAGTCGTGTTGCTAAACATAGTCCAAGTACTATTTCTGTAGCGATTCGTGATGTTTAAATTATCTACAATTGGCATGGAATTGGTGTTCAATAACTTGAATGTCATCCGCTGGATTGGCCTATTGTGCTGCTTGATTTTACTAGATCAAGGCCAATGAAAAGGCCGTATTACCACTGTGCTGTTTAATTTCCAAATAATAACTTCTTTTTGACTGATATATAGACTGATAGATTACGCTCCGACCGATAAAATAAAGAATTTGCACCCTAGGTCTGTCGGTTTTGTTTTCAGCCAACACGAAAGTTGGTTAGATTAAATATATATATATATATATTCACATGTTTGAATACGACTGAAAGTGTTGAATTATATATATTTGTTGAATTTGTTTTTGTGTGGTTTTGTGTTAGTTAATTTGTTGAAAACTCTCCTTGTGAGATTGAACTCAAACAAACGATACAAACATAATTTACTTATTGATGCAATTCTAGCATTTCCATCAATGCTACATGACCAGGTTTTAACTGTAACCGTAGTTTTAAACTGGATTAGAAAATTCCAAGACGCAACCTTCAGTTCTCGTTAATAGCAATGAGTTACTTCTAGTCAAAGGCCCCAGTTTTGTGTCAAAAAACTCATCGTTCCAAAAGTTTCCGTCTTTCGTATTTTTCCGATAGTCTTCTTTCAAATCTTTCCAAGTGTAGTTCGAACCCATATTGTAATCAGTGTATTTGTATCCAAATAATTGTTCTCCGTAATAACTGTTACGTAGAGTCCAGGCTCCTTCGTTCAGGGTCACTGATTCAGGGTTCAAGCTCTCGTTGCAAAATGGCGACAATGGAAAGTCGAAGGAATTTTCAAAATTATTGTGTCTTGTTTCACGCTGCAAGAGGAAATCAAAATATTTTACTCGTATATAATGAAGCTTTCTAGCAATCTTTTCCAAGTTTGAGAAATGGTAGATCGGGCATAGAAAATAGATTAGTAATCACGACAACTTTCGACTTTGCACGTGGAATGTTAGAAAATTCTTTTCCGCTCTTCGTAGATAAAGTTTGATAAATTATTTATTACAGTGATAAAGTTCGTTATAATCATTTGTGGATGTTTTCTTTCAGAAGCCCAAGTATTAAAAACAAGAACAATGTTTCAATTCTGCATATAAAAATTATCTTAGTCCTCGTTCATAGTAGAGCATACTTCAGACTCTTTTATTAAGATATCTTTCAATCCACCAACCTCTAAATATTGTCCAATTACTCTGCTTTTTGTCCAATCAGACATTCCTTCTTCCTCTTCAATCTTACGTCTCATTACAAACATTCTGTCGATCGCACTATGATGTAACATGAATGCCGGATCCCATGCAGCGTAGTCAACGGTGGGCATTCCAAACCTGCACCGTTGCTCGCCTTCTATAGTGCCACCTTCGATGCAAAAACAGTCATGAATCTGAAACAATCAAAGTGGAAATTGTGGATAAGAAAGTTGAGTTAACGTCTCGTTTTAAATTGCCACACTTTTGGAACAATAGTGAAGTGCGAAAGCGAATGAAGTGGTACCGATGTCTAAACTTTCACATTGCCGGTGTAGAATCGTAGTCCTTGCGACTTCGACTGACCACCAAATCGTAATGAAACCGAAAGCGGAACCGCCACAAGGGACTCACATTTTTATTTTATGACGTCATCACACACACAAAAAGCGAAACCCATGGAGATAGAGCCCACAGAATTTCAAATAAATAAAAAAGGTAGCCTTTTAGCGGTAAAAGCAATCTTCAACCGTGGAAAAGCTATTGGTTCATTATTTAAAGAGAAAAGGAATTTTACACAACAACAAAGCAACGAGAAAAAGAATATCACCACCACTGCCAACAATACCAACATAATAACAACATAGATCAATTTCATGTCTAATACTAGGGGCCCAAACGACGGTTCATCTATCACTTAGCCTCGATATGAAATCCAAAAATGTTTCAGGCCATGCAAATCACATGTAAACATGTTTTTCAGATATACATTCAGTTCTTAGTTAGGCAAACTCAGTTATGAAAAATCTTTCACTTCACAACAGTTTTTAACATATTTACTTGGTCATGAGGTATTGTTGCTTCTTGACGATCGAAATGTTCATAATTATGACAGAGCAGTGCACGAACCATTCCTTTAATGATATATTTGTTCATCAATAATCCGGGGTACCATGGATTTCTTTGACTGTATCTGAAAAACGTTAATTTTTCACATCATTATTTTTGCCATAATGTGCCTACCACCGACCCGTATGCGTTCTAAGATACTCACAGTCTTATTCCGCGAAAATTCCTAATATATGTTCTGTAGAAGGGATTGTGAACTTTCTTTTTCAATATTGGATCGTAAATAGTCTCATTCTGGAGAAGAAAGGGAATATTTTCAGCATGCTCAGTCCAGTCCCAGAATGGAATCCCCAAAGTTTTGTTTTTCAAATGACGAGAGAGACCTTGATATTAAAAGAAAAATTAATTGCGGAAAAAATTGAATATGTTTGGCTGTCAAACAGAAAGGAGTCCCAGTCTCACCTAACTCAAGCTGAACAGTTATCAATCGGTGCCAAGGTAAGAACAGCGGGTGATGATGCCAACTACAATGACCGTCACTGTGTTGGTGTACACGACGATACCATGGACATTCACCTGGCCAACCATGCCACGAAACGATGCTCTACATAAAAATGGTTTTATATTAGATTAACATCAAATATAAACTAAAGCTAAGAATTGAGAAAGTTTTCCTTCATTTTGCACAATAGTCATTACTCTTCTCGGTCGCCCTGAATATTTGAATTGTGAAGGATAAAATCTTAAATGAATAACTAATATCTTAACTGATTCGAAATATATGCTTTTGTTGATACACTAGTAATATGTAAACCAAGATGGCGGACACCGGAACGTAGTATTTGTACCAGGATAGAGTTAGGCCATAATTTTAGGTACAAATACTACGGGGAACCACTTGCCTAGTCCCCGTACTCGTAATAGAAAAATTGGAACAAAATTATGGCCTAGCCTCAACCTGGTACACATACTACGTTCCGGTGTCCCTATCTTGGTTCACATGCTACGGGAGTACCCTTTTGTTTGCACAAAACATATCTACTTGAATGGTGGATGAGTTAATAAAAATCTCAATTGCAATAAATGGAATAATAGTTGCAGCACGTGCAAATTGAATTCACGATATATATATATAATATACAACTTATTTTAGGATCTGTTATAAATCACGAATTATATTTGTTTTAAAGTGGTTCATACGTTTTTCATCACTGGCAATAAATTACACAGATTCAGATTATCCGAGACCTAATTTTTACTCCTTTTCTATCATTCTCGTCAATAAGTAAGTACTCACTCTAAATCCTCTTCTTGAACTATCCTCTTTGAAGCTTGTCATACCCTGAATTAAATCATGAATTTCCTCATCTGTCAAATCCCGAACATTTTTCCGAATACGGAAATCTAAGAAAAGAACAGTTTGGGTTGAATACAAAAAATGTAATACCTTACAGGTGTAATTTACTAAAATACTTTTACTCAAAATTTGTGTGTCTGTATTATTACCTCCAGTTACCGGCGAACATGTCCTAGAATTACTTCCAATGCCTACGCATGAACCTGGCGCTTCTTGTGAACTTGATCTGCAAATACGTTCCCTTGTTTGGAGGCCTCCCCATTGGCTAGTTATGCATTTACTCCAGGAACTCCAACCTGACCACGAAACTGTGGAATTTGTTAGAATTTTCAGAGTTTAGCGAGAACATGAACGTAATATCATTCGGAATTTACACATTATTAAGCAACACGGGACTAATTCTGATTCTACGACGATACGCTTTGAATTGACATCATTCAGTTTCACTTTATTTGGTTAACATTGGTGATTTCTGCATACCAAGGTACAATACATGATTGCTGAAATGCACTTAGCATATATATCACATGTTCGATACATTTAATTAACATCATTGGTAAACTTATCGTAGCGTTGATTTCACAAAGCTAAAGACAATAAACTCATTGGAGGGATAACATTTTTCCACTGAAAAAAGTTTTTATAAGCGCAATAAAAGGGTGTGTGGGTTGCCTACTCAATGAAAATGATAAATTCCCAACCTGTTTCACAAAATCTTTCGTTTACTTTCACAAAGTTTTTTCTACAAACGCAAGTACAACAACCTTCCCTGTCCACGAATTTGCCTTGTTGGCAATTTTCTGAGCAGGCTTGTCTCCCTGAAAGCAATAATTAAATTCCACAAACTATGTCGGTCTAATATACAGTTTTTTTCCACGTTTACTACGAAAAGATTTCCTCAGCCACCACAATGCGCAATTATTTTGAAACTTTACGTTTATATAGAAAAAAACATAGAATATTTCAATACTTTTTGTCTTTTTTCGAAATTATTCAGTATGTTTCAACATAAAACGCTTACCTTCGATTAGCACACATGCAAAGTCCCTTAAAAGGTCTGGTATTGTTGTTGGAATGAAAGAAGCTGGACTTGTGTCTAGATTGTTCTCTACGTCTTCAATACGCAGTATATACTCAGAGTCCTCGACAAGTATAGTGCTAGCTGTTTTAAAAAGTGGAAATGGTAACAGAGTGCATAAATGAGAAGGAGCAGCATGGAAACATAACTCAATGAAATACTCACCTAGGCTCTCACAAGGAAACTGAGCAACCACGATGAGTATTATCCAAACTTTATTGAAGAGTTGGAACTTCATATTAATACTTATTTAAAACCTTGAAATATATATAGGGATTTAAAGGGCTCATAATTCATGTTGTATGCTATATTGTATTGGATTCACTCACATAACTAAAATCATAAATTTAAGGCCAGGTGAAAAATGCCACCTCAAAACTATAGGAGGTCCCGTAGGTACATCTATGAGGTACCGGGGTTCACCAGAGAGGTCCCATAGATCTACCATACAGGCAGGGTTGGTTTACCCGGTATGCAAAATAAGCACGTGCTTAGGGCACCAAGAGAAAGGGGGCCCACACAAATTAACGTAGTCAAAATTTTCAATGGCGCCTCAGCGTTTGATTAAATAAATCGAGTTGGTTTGATGACCTCAATATTTGCCGGGTTGAAATATCTTTTTGTTTATTTTTCGTTCTCAAGTACTAAAGCACAATCTTGAATCTGTTTGAAGGCATGAAAACTAAAAAATATCATGCAAATTTATCATAATTTGGCCTTCAATCAGTAATGAATACTGAAATTGCTTATTTAATTTCAATATCGCATATTATAATTATTATTTCTTCTTATACATTGAGCACCCTTAGAAAAACTACTTAAAACATGTACGATTGACCCTGCTTAACAGTACCTCGTTACTGTTAAAAGCGTCGGTAATTAAACATTTAAGTAGCATTCCACCGTAACTTCGATGCTGTTAAAAATCGTTAGTCGTTAATTGTTCAAATTGCATTTGTCCGTAACTTTAATGCTGTTAAAAAGCGTCAGTCGTTAAAAATTTGAATAGCATTTCATCGTAAATTCAATACTGCTGAAAGAGTCCCCCATTAAACGTTTGAATGACATTTGTCCGTAACTTCAATACTGTACAGTTAAAAAAAAGTCAGTCGTTAAACGTTTAAATAGCATTTGTCCGTAAATTCAATACTGTTGAAAGCGCCAGTCGTTGAACGTCTAAATAGCATTTCCCAGTGACTTCAATACTGTTAAAAGCGTCATTCGTTGAATGTTTAAATAGCATTTAGCCGTAACTTCAATACTGTTAACGTCCGATTTCACTGAAGGTATTGATTTGGGTTAGGCTACAACGCGAGACTAACTCTATTGGTCTTGCCCTTGAATCTTGATCTACTATGCTGATGGATTTATAGGCGTATAATAATCCCAAGGCGTTGTAGCCAAGGCTGTAACATAGGTCCCAAGAGTTCAGCTAACACCCCCCTGTGAGATGGGTAATGAAATTGTTGGATGTAAACCCTATGAAATGCTATGGAGTTTTCGTATTGGTGTTTTATCAATTTTATATTTGAGTCACAAATTTGTTCAGTACATTAGGCGTCGGATGTAGACACAAATCGAGATTGTTCGCGTGGCAATTTTAAATTTTTACAAACAAATTAGATTTGATAACGTTGTCGATGTGACGGTCAGTTGTGACACATGACAAACGTCACACACAACACACACGACAAATTTCATTCACGTGTAATCTATGTTTTCTGTCATTATATTAAGCCTATTTGTGTTTTCATTTCCATAAAATACACATTGTAATTTGATACCATTCAGAAATTTTTTTTGCGACTTTCCGACAAAGCAAATCATTGTAAAGAGATTCCATTTATTTCAGCTAAACTCTCTCAAGGAGCCTTCTTATAAAATCCCTCGCGAGACCATTCTGAGAAAATTCGCAACGTGCAAGAGATGTAATACATCACGTGGGGCGTAAGATTCACTACTCACGTTTTCACGCACTCGTTTTTTGCAAAATATATATGCATATACATATTGAACTCAAGTGATGACATCAAAATTATACACACTACGGAAATTATGTTATATGCCCCAAAGCAACTTAAACTGCCAATAAATATGCACTTAGAAACTAAATACATCAAAAACAATTGTGCACAAATTCGTTTCCTTGAGAAGATTTTTTTTTATTTTTTAAAATGTTGCCATACTACAAAGACTACAAAGCCCCAAGCAGTATTACCACATGGCCTTTGTATATTATTACGCATCGGTGTGCATTATGGCGAACTAACTTTATATTATACAATACGCTTTTAAGAGAGATTTTAATTCAGTCCTCGTCCGGTTACTAAGTATTCTAGTTATTTTCCTGCGACCTCTTTGAGAAGCAATGTACAATTCATTTAGTCAACCTTTTCTATCACAACAAACAGTTAAAATATATTTGTTGGAATATGAGCGATACCCTATACTGTAGGATTGGTACAATGCACTTGTTGAACTCTTCACATGAATATCGTTCGACCTACTATTTGAAATATCTATCTAACCCTTTTCTCTTTCCAAATTTGTTCCACAAACGACAAATACTGGACCTGAAATTGGCTAACTTTATCATTTTTTTCCCTGTCACTAAAACACTGTGATAAACTCAAAATAATATATTATGAATAAAATTATGGTACCAATTGGTACAGCATGCATTTTAAGGCAAATCAAATATGGATGGATATTAATATAAAACGTTACTTTCATTGATCACATTCGACAAAAAAAGCTTCTGCGTGAATCTTTCTGAATTACAATTTATTGCAAAATACGATTAAAAAAAGTTTTTTGTTGAACATTGGTAATACGTGTGTAATGTATACGCTTCAGCGTGTTACACAATACCATTCTCGTTGCCGTATCTGTGATACGATCAATATTTTTAAATCGTGCTTACGTAAAGTTATTATTTTGGCAAGGTCAAGTTACTTAAAACTAGAAGTTAAAAACAAATGTAAAATTTAAGAGATAAAGTCGATCATTGAGTCCCACGTTTTCGATGAAGTTTGAAGCATCGCATATTACAACATCAATAATGCGTGAATTCATAATTTCCGTACTATAAAAGGTTTTTATTCACTCACACACTTCGTAAATGCATTTTATTCATTCATTCTATAATATCCTCAATATAAAATGCCAAATTCGTCGATATGATATCAATATTACCCCATATCGGTATCTGATTCTCGTGGACCAAGTATCCGTACATCTACATAACAAATCACCAATTTTTGATGAACTGCTACGCTGAGTGCCAAAAAAATCTTAACATTTCATTTTGTCAAAAACCAAGTATGATTTTGAAAATCGCCCTTTTTCCATAATGGCGAATACTTCTCTAGCATACTCGTAAAAACATTCCAGGCATGCATACTTCTCCATATGCTTTATTCGTGAAAAAAATTTAAAAAGCGGATATCCTATTATAAAATATGAGCTCAATAAATGGATTTATTGAATATAAAGGAAGTCATTGTCATTGCATTTAAATAGGAAGTTGCCTAGATTAGTTTGTAGTTTATCATACTTTATTGAGCACGAACTGACAATTTATTCGATTCAGAAATACAACAGTGATGATTATACTACTTCCTTTTCGTATGATATGAAATTTTCCAGCAGCATATGTCGCCAGCACATCTCCTTCATTGTATCTCCTGCAGCCCAGAGTGTCCAAATTTGGAAACTCACAAAGAATGTACTTTCTATAATAGAAATCACGACGCGTTGGAAAGAAAATTTGACTTTATTAACTGCAAATTACAAAAGCCAAAAGTTGGCCAAATGTTTTCCTTCCGAGCAGTTGGACAACTATACCTTTAATATCAGAATCAAGATTAGGATATATTGGCTAATAGCACGTAAATATCGATTCTTTCTAGACTATTGAACACGCCGTTTGTCATTTATTTAAAGAAGTAGATATACCAGCTTTTCAAATGCAAAAATATCAGTATTTTCATTATGAAATCTCCTTATGACCTTAACAGAACTACTGAGTTTCTTTTTAAATTTCAAATCGAATCGCCTCGACTTGAACGATCCTATATACTTGGATTTGGTCTAACCGTGTCTAATTTTACCGTTTCACTCTAAAATAGTTATTTTTGAACCATTCCTGAATTCTGACGTCGTTGTTTTTCAACGTCTTGGTTGGTCCTTGTCCATTCTAATGTGCCATTAACAAGCAAAAACGAAACTAAATGTTTTTCTGCATGAATGCACAATAATGTTGCTATCGACCTAACGAGGAAAATTTTGCGCATTCGTCTGTATATCTTTCAAATAAATATAAATTGTGACATCATTATTTTTGCGAAGCTTGATATTTCACCCAAATTTGGCTATTCTAAGAATTTTGCGCTGCTACGCTGCCACGTACCATTACGTCAGATCAGTCCGACATATCTCCGACATAGCCAGTGCTTGCTTCTCGGCCTTGGTCTTACTGATAGCGATATCAGGATATAAATTTCTGCGTCAGTAGGACTTGATTTCAAATTTTCGTTTGAAGCTTTCGAATGATCAGATGGAGGATTTTGTCCTATGGCTAGGTATTGAACATTACCAGAACAGACAACCTATCAAACCTGTTAATTAATGTTATGAATTCGAGATAATGCACTTAAGCATTGTGAGCAACAACATTATGTGACCAGCATTCTTTAATAACGTCAAACACAGTTTAATCAACGAAATCTCAACATTTCAAATATTCTGAACTATTATAGACTTGTTCCTAATGTCAGCTCCGACTACATGAAAAGGAAATAGTTGACGATCTGAGTTTTACAAAAAAAAAAGTAGCTAAAACAGAATGCAGACTAGCTGTCGAACAGGAGGTGATCTAAACCCTTGTTGTCTCAGAATTTTCGTTTCAAATTATTATATATACTTCAAATTCTTATTGGACATGAAGTGTACCTACGGATCGCTTTGTCGTCGTTCTAGTTGGTAATGTTGTGAAAAAATCGACTTTCTCTTTAATTACTGAACACATTGATTGGGAATTTTCTTGGTTAAAGATTTATTGGACACGTAGTGGACATAACGATCGTTTCAATATTATGTTGTTGTTGTTGTTCTTGTTCTTGTTCTTTGACACGATTTTAAAAAGTCGCTTTTCTCTTCGAATACTGGACCAATTGCTTTGAAATTTTCAGTGGTTAAAGATTAATTTTTTCGCTAGAAGGCTATTACTTTTATTTATTTCAAAATTTTGCGTGAATTCTATGAAATTTGATATTTCGTCTAAAATTTTGCTGTATTATTTTTTATCCATGGGAACACGGATTTTAGTCAGTGTCATGACTGGCTGTACGTTTTGATTCTGCAAAATTCTTGCTACTGGAAATTCAGAACTTTTTTGAGGGTACCGGTAGCGTCAAAGGTACCGGTAAGGACTGATTCGCTCTGGTCTAACGTGTCCATATATTCGTGCGTAGCTCTCTTGTTCTTTAATGGAAGGCTATTTATGTCAAAAATTTTTGTGGCCTCTACGGGATTCGTGTTTTGTGTGCCGTGACGTCATCAGAAATGGCGCTTTTTGTGGCGGTTCTGCGTTCGCGTTAGTCGTGCAGACTGTGCTAGGGTTATTTTACTGTGATAGATTGTATACCCTTACTACTTCGTTATGGTCTTCGTGTCCAGATATTTGAGCATCGCTTTCTTATTTTAATCTTACCATGAATTTTCACCCAGGGTAAAATCTTCGTATTAATACCCATGGAGTTGTTCATCGTGAAAACTGCTATACAAAGTAAAAACTTGTTAGTTCTTGTTAGTAGCTATAATACAGCAGTTACGATACAGCGTAAGAAAAATAGGTCTGTGTTAGTTTTCAACAAGACTCCTGAATAGCTTGTTATCCTTGTATTATATGCCCACTGCACAAAAGCATAAAAGAAGGACAGTAGTTAGTAGTCCGGCAGAAACTAAATCAATAGCGTAAGTTGAATCAAAATGAGTTGCATCGCGCAGAAAGCGACCCAAATTCATGTTGCTAATCAAGAAACTCTATGAGTACAGTTGTAGAAAGTGAAAAAATTCTCATGTAAACTTTTTGTTATTCGCTACAATAGTTATATATCTGAATAGCACTATAGAGGCAAGCCAGAAATTGACGGTGAAAAACAGAGTTCGTGCGTGGGTATCTCACTCTTAGTTCGAAATAATACCAAATTCCACGAAAACGAGATGTGGAATTTCAATAGTCCATATAATGCGCTATTCCGAGAATATCAGTACATTATTTTCATCGCCAATCCATCAGCGAATGTCAGAGAAAAATAGGCACGCGATTTCAATGTTGTAAGATATATCGTATCACTGAATAGTTTATTTTTACAAAATTACTTTTACTACATTGTTAACAGTAAAGTGTGTAGACATTTCATTTCATCATCTTTTCTGTGTCAATCAAATAAACACGCATACATCCCGCCCAATATAATAATATATGTCGCCTTTCTTCGCCAATTAATAGCAAGACAATTGGTATCGTGTGTACGAAATAGGCATTTAACATTATCAAATAACACACTGTGGAAACATGAGTCGGCTGTGTTTTCTTGATTAAGAAATATCATCCGAGGTCAGGCCCTTTAACTCAGCGTGACAAGAAGTTATGTAGCTGATATAACAAGGCAATGAAGCACTAGCTTGCAATGGTTTGATAGTTACTATCGGCCTAGAAGAAACAGCATAAACTGCAATTCATAAATATTACAGTTTACTGGTATATGTAATTTAGACTGATTTCTCCCAGGATAAATTGTGTTTGAAGTGCCACGCTACAGCATTCAGGTGTTTTCAGGAGGCTGGCTGATCCATATTGGCTACATTAACAGATTCACCATTTATCATCGTATTTGAAAGCGTCGTATGTCTTAATTCGTATCTTAATTTAAGTTGCTACAACACTGTACGTTTATCTAATGTAGTAGGTACCGATAATCTTCGATACCGGTAATCTTCTGTGACATATTGCGTACCCGTACTAGTTTGTTTTGGCTTTCGTGTTCATATATTTGATCATATTTCTCTTGTTGGACAATAAGTGTACAAATTAATCGTTTTTTATTATTGGATTCATTCTTTGAGCGTGAGAGAAGATTTAATTGATTTTCAAAATTATAGTTTCTGATACGGTGGTCATTGCCATTTAATCATGTCAACGAACGGAAGTGCGCGTGCAAGAACGGCTATGAGTGCCTCGTCTTCCAGTAGCCATCGTTCGGTACTAGATTACGGAGTGAGTCGTCCCAGTACTTCTTTCAAGTCAGTTGAGAAACACTCTTCAGCATCTCCGAGCAGACAATCGGTATTTCGGAGTGGTAACCGAAATGTATTCTCAGGTATGGTATTTTCGTCATGCAGATAGTTATATGAGTGTTTTACTTAAGTTTGCATGTTATCAAAATTCTTCGATCCCAGTTTGTGTAAAAAGTAAAAAAAATTGCCAATGTTCAAGGAAACTCATCACATGCTCGATGTCATTTATTTCGTCATATACACACTAAATTTCTTATCAAAAATTATTCACTAACCTCGACTGTCTGAGGGGATTGTTATTGATTCATATCTTTACGTGTTTTCCAGATCTATTAGGAGGGAGTAGTCGTGTGACAAGTTCGTATGTTCCACCCCAGAAAACGACGCCTAAAGGTCCAACAGGAGGCAGAATGCTATTCACAGGTATGAATACAACAGTGTTTTAAGATACAATCAATTTATAACCTTTCTGGTGTCGGGAATCTGGTCCGCAGTCGAAGCAGTGAGATGTAAAATATTTGCGTCTCATATTTGCATCACAGTAGCCATGGTTCACCATAGTCTTGTTAGTGGGCTACTGTCAGAAGAAACTTACACACTGAAATACTGTTGCGAGTCGAATTGGTCCTGATTATTATGACAATGCGACATTTTAATATAATTTTTCCGTTTTATCACATGAAGGGTTAAGAAGATTAACACTCCTATGTTATGTTCATTCTTTCAGGTCCCGATCAATCCGATTCACATCGTATTCAGGTTGGAGACAAAGGAAAATACGTCGGGTTTCGACCATTATCCAAAGAAGTGACTTCAGATTCCGAGTATTTGTACAGACCATGCAAGGGCGACGAACCAGCAATGCGGATGCGCCACGAGAGAGTCGGAGAAATAGGGTGGAACGTTCCAAAGCTGTGGAGGTTAAGCAAACTTGAAAAATCACTTGCATCCTGAAACTAAACACAACTTAGCCAGGATGACATGATCAAAACAAGGATAATTGAAACGCCCATTAAATGCCATTGCTAGCCAATGTTCCTTGTTACAATGTCCTCTGTTTTTAAGTGCTATTTGGTATTCTTGTAAAATGAATTCACGAGTGTTTGTGACACAATAAAGGAACAGCTTGGTAATCAATAAAACAAAAAACGCTTTGCATCCCAAACAGCTTCTATTTTCCACGCATTAGGGAGAATAAAGTTGACTATTATTCAAGAATGTGACAGCTACTAGCTACATGAAGAAAACGTAAAACATTCTCATTCTTTCTCTGAATCAAATTCAAGACCATCGATTGAAAAATCGTGGATTAAGTATTGTACGCTAATATAACTAGAAATCCTATGAAATATTATTTCTCTTCTCATGCATGTTAATGCTTTTTTTTTACTTTATTTCTTTTATCATTATAGGTTTGTCTCACTTTTGCTCTCAACAAAGGATTTATTTAGAAATAGTTATTAAAGCTTTTGTTTAGAAGTCTGTTGATTCAATTGTATTGTTCCACTGGATAGTTTCAGACTTTATGTTTCCGGCGGAATATGGTCATAGCGTCATAAGAATTGTAGAATATAAAGCCGAAGTTCAATGTTTATATTAGAGCATTTCTTTAAGATCGAAAAAAGTGAAACGTTTCGCTTTTCGAGATATACAGGTCAGAACGTCAAACACTAAAAGTTTCAGAGATCCGGCCACCATATTTGCTGTAGCATGTTCTTTTTCATTAGATATTAATAATATCCCAATTATTATATTGATGTTTAAACCAAGTCTATAGTTATGCAGGAACAATATAGCTTCATCTTCATCAACAAACACATCTTACGTCCTTCCACTTTTATATTTATTCCGATGCTTAAGAATTCGCCATGGAAAGTCGCTATTGTATACTCAACCTTTAGAATCTGGCAGTCGAAAATTTCAAGGTATATGACAAAATTAGACGTGCCCTAGATCAGCAGCTGTCTTTTAAATTTAAGTACTCAATTCAAAAATTTCAATATCTAAAAGTTCCTGTGTCTCAGATAATGAATCTCAGAATTTGCTATTTGTCAATTGGTCATGTTTCTCAACCTATTTATGGGTTCACAGAAGTCCCACTCACGGATTTTTATAAGTAATCGAATATATTTATATTGATTGTATTCCATAAACTTAACTTTGATGTTAGGAATAATCTACAACATTATCATTTCAAATTTTGTCATTTTGAGCATTTGCCATTCGACAAAAACAAAGAATTTTTTATTTATCACACTGTTGAAAATCAGCTAACAACTTCAACTAACTCTTCTGCATTACTAGATAGAATGTTTACCTTACCGGAATAGAACCGAGGTCCTATTTTATACAACACTATGCAACCCTGCTTTGAACAATTACAGTAATCTACGGACTTTTAATCTATCTATATCTAGAATAGGGTAGTAGATACGATATCTACGATAGGCTCATTCTAATTTCCTACAACATATTGGACCTCTGGTGTTACAGACAAAGTTTCTTTGTTTTATTTTGCATATATTTGACCCGGGGTTATTTCGAGAGAAATCGGTCATTGCACTTTTGTCGAATGACCGCTAATAAACTACTCCCTTCAAGGCGATTGCACCATCTGTTCGTGGGTAGGAATAGGCCTGTCGGCGGGAACAAAGTCTTTTATCGATTTTTCTTTTCTCTCGTTTTTGTGTTTGTTTATTATTTCAAATCATTGCCAGTCGGCTGTTTACAATTTATTTGTGCTAAGAGTTTGCCGGTTAGTCTGTTAGTAATGCTAATTCATATGCCGTAATGAGCGGATTTATTCGCTTGTCTTTAAGTTAAATAATAGGGTTTGATTTGTTTTCATATTGTAATGTTGCTATTGTTTGCATCTTTAGAATTAAGTATGTTATAAACCTGCCTGTTGGGTTGGTCGTAAACTTTAGCAACCCTCAACCTCAACCTCAACATAACTTTATTTGGACGTCTACATTCTACAATACTGTGATCGTTTGTGTCTCTACAATACTGGAATTATTTGTTCTTATCATCACACAATTTCGTCGTTTATTTATTCGTCTATATCGTACTTGTGCATGTAGACTGGTATTTTATCGACTGCATTACATTTCGTTCATATTCAAAGTTGTGGAGTTGTTAATTATCGAGAAACCTGGCAGGTTATATACATCAGGGGAAGTTAATAGCGCGAAGTGTCACCGCCCAACACGTTATAGGCTTCTTGTAGAGCCTCATCATAAGTGTTAAGTCGCTTATAATCTACATTTGTTGCTAAATATTGGCTTCGTGACACTCGCCATTCGTGGATACTTTGATCGTGTGAACTTTATCGTAAATCAATTGAAAGGAAACATCTAAGCGTTTATATTGTCGAAATGTCGTCGTCTCGGACATCGATAACATCGTCGATGAAGTCGGATCAAGCCAAGGCCGAGCGTAATCTACGTTTAGCGCAATTAAAGTTGGAGCGGGCAAAAAAGGAAGCTGCGCTTGAGAGCGAACGTGTCCAACTTGAACTTGAGCGTAAACGTGTCCAACTTGAACTTCAGCGAAGTATATTGGATGCGGAAACGGAAGCAGAACAAGCGAAGATAGAATTGGAAAGCGTCGCGGCAAGATCAAGCAAAGGCTCAACGCGGGATGATGAAGAAGAAGATGTGGAATCCTTTACTACCTTATCACCGAAGAGATTGATGGAATACGTGAAGACACCAGGGGGGAAGGGACTGTTTTCTGTGCCAAGTCATGATGCACAAATAATAAATAAACATGATGATAAATCGGAAATATTAGATTTTAATGAGGATTGTAACAGGAGTATTTTCAAAATTGTAAATACGGATCAGGATAAACATTCTACTGCGGAAGAAATTGTACAGCGGCCTATTTGCATGTTGGATCCAGGCATACCTATCCATTACTCAAGCCCGGAGCATGAGGTGCCTGTGACTCAGAAGATATTGGTGAGTCCTATTTTACCTGATAATTGCGAGCAACCACTAGATCCACAGATTAGTGCGGAGCAATTATTGTTGCCTAATTACGTCAAGCCAGAGATTAAGCCTGATTTCAAATCTGCCAAGCATGATATCGTGTATGATGATGTTAGGGCAGGCATAAGGGCGCCAGATGTGGCCAAGCCTTTTGCTACTGAAATGCCTAACATGACACTGAATGCTGTAGCGCAATTGACCAGGGCGATGATGGCGGGCATGACTGATGTGGCAAATATAATCAAGCAGGGATTCACATTACCTCAGATTAAGCTTTCTGTATTTGACGGGAACGTACTAAAATATCCTGAATTCGTTCGTGAATTCAATAACTATATTGGATCATGCAAACTGGACACTGCTACAAAACTAAATTATCTAATATCTCATTGCACTGGTGAAGCAAAGGAAACTATAAAATCATGTGGAAATTTACCATCAGAAGAGGGATACAATTTGGCTCGTAATATTCTTCATAAAAATTATGGTCAAACTCATTTAATTATTGACACACATCTTAATTTGTTGTGTGAGGGACCCGCAATAAAAGTTAATGACATTGAAGCCTGGGATAAATTGCTTACTCAAGCAAGAAGTACATTTATAACATTTTCACAATTCGGTATTAGATCCAATTTGGATGACTTAACTGTACTAAGGAAAATTGTCAAAAGGTTTCCATCTCAGCAAATGTGGAAATTTGCAAATTTGGCCAACGATCGTTATAATGCTGGAGATTTGGTAAACTTCGATACACTGTTATCATTTATGGAATCTGTGTCAAATGTCAATCGATCAGGATTTGGCAAACTTGCTCGTGAATCACAAAGGAAGAAGAGAGTTGACGACTTGGGAGGTACTCGTAGTAATCGCAAGGTGTCATCCTTTCTCATATCCGAAGAAAACTCTAGTAAGGACATTCCAAAACGTAAAAGTCATGAGTTGAAGTGCATGATGTGTGACGGTAGTCATCGATTGTGGAATTGTGCAAAATTCAAAGAAAAAGAAGTTTCATTCAGACACAGGTTTGTGCGACAGAAGAATATCTGTTTTAATTGTTTGATTCCTGGTCACTGGACAAGCCGGTGTCAATCGAAAATTCACTGTAGAGTGGAAGGCTGTGATCTAAAACATCATACACTGTTACACTTTAAGCATTCAAAAAATGGACAAACAAACTCTAAAGTTGACTTGCGTAACTCAACTGACGACACTCAGTCTGAGAAACATGAAGTCAGTAGTTATTCATCATCGAAGGAGGCCGGGTCTGAACCAGCTGAAGAGACTGGGGCTCATGTTTCATCATCATTTTGTTCATCAAGGGAGACAGCATCACATATTCGTAGGAAGGTCAGTACCAGTTAGATGTTGGGGATCGGATGGCCGATCTTGCGACACGTATGCCTTTCTAGATGATGGTTCTGATGTATCGCTATGTACAAATGATTTGATGAAGAGGCTTGGCATAAAAGGTATCAAAGATGAAATTGTTTTGAAAACCTTGGGTGGTGTCGTTAAGACTGACAGTGCTCGAGTATCATTGAATATCCGTGGATTGCGTGAAGTGCATTCAATTCACATCAAAGGCGTCAGAGTTCTGGATAGACTTCCATCCGATCTGGAGATTAACATTCCTTCGAATGCTGATTCGTTAAGATGCAATCACATTCAGGACTTGAATTTTCCAACGCTGGAAAATGCCAAAGTTGAGATTTTGGGAGGCGTGGATGCTCCAGAGGCGCATGTAATTTCTGGAATGAGACGCGGGAAAAAGGGTCAACCATATGCCGCAAGAACGGCTCTAGGCTGGGCGTTGTTCGGTCCTGATGATACTTACAATCAGTGTGATGAATCTCATGTTGACAACGTTTCATGGATTTCTTTGAACAATGAGAGGCTACATAAGCAAATGGAGAAAGCGTTTGAAACGGAGTTTTCAGGTTGCAATGCATACGATACTGCTCCTTCAATAGAAGATAAGGCTGCATTATCAATTATGGCAAATACCATCTGTAAAGTGGATGGTCATTATCAAGTGAGCATTCCGTGGAAAAGTAAAGACGCAGAATTGCCAAATAACATAAAAATTGCTGAGTCACGTCTCAACAATTTGAAGAAAAGATTGCTTCGTGATCCAGAATTGCATGATAAATATAAGAAGAAAATGGAAAGAATACATATCGAATGGTCATGCAAGCAGAATTTCGGATAACAAGCTGGAACACACCAAAAAGACGTGGTATCTTCCTCATCACTGCAACGGAGGAAAGTTTCGGATTGTTTTTGATGCTTCTGCTAGATACCAAGAACACGTCTCTTAATGACAATATTCTATGTGGACCTTCTCAAACTAATCGCTAATTGGTGTCCTGTCAAGATTTCGACAAGAGAAGATTGCTGTGGTTGCTGATATCAAAAGTATGTATCACCAGGTTCTAGTCACACCTGAAGATCGTTGAAGCATTGAGATTTTTATGGTGGCCAGATGGTTATCTCAAACAAACCAATAGCTGAGTATCAAATGAACGTTCATCTTTTTGGAGGAAATTGGTCGCCAAGCGTTTGCATGTTACGCTTTAAAACGAGTAGCTGAAGATAATGCGAACCATGAAGATGAAGAAACCTTGAATGCTATTAGAAAGAGTTTTTATGTCGATGACTAGAACGATCTGAGCCGACTGTTCCTCTTGCATTGGAACGAATCAAAAGAAGTTTGACGGGTCTATTAGAAAAATGGGGGTTCCCATCTTTCGAAAGTTTTCTAGCATAGCATTGAAGTTATGAATTCTATACCGGAAGTTACAGAAGCGTGTTTTTCATCAGAGAACTTTGAACCTGACAAAAGGTGTCGTCACAGAAGTACTTCGGACTGTCGTGGCAATATTCCACTAGATTCCTTTGTATTTGAAGTCGATATTCAGCAAGAAACCACATACTCTGGAAGGGGATTGCTCTCAATGCTGAGTCAAGTCTTTGATCCCGTTGGGTATGCTGGGCCCCATTTTCCTTGTTGCCAATGAAGAAGTTTATTGCAACGTTTGTGTGCCCAGCGATCTCAGCCAGGGATTGATGACCTTCCTATGGATGCAATCATAACATATGGGAGCAATTGGATTGGACAATATCTGAATTGGCAAAAGTGAGGGTACCAAGATGGCTGCATGGAACTAGGTATGAATCATGCAAGATGCAGTTGCATACCTTTTGTGATGCCAGTGAATCTGGTCTTGGAGCAGTTTCTTACGTAAGAGTTGTCAGCACTTCTGGAGCAGTTCAATGTGAATTTGTCGCAGGAAAATCTAGAGTAACTCCTTTGAAGGCGGTATCAATTCCTCGATTAGAACTGTGCGCAGCGGTGGTTGCAGCAAAACTAAGTGCTATGATTCAATCGGAATTGGAATATAAATTTGAAAGGATCGTCTACTGGACAGATTCAATGTCTGTTTTACAGTACATCAATAATGTGTCAACCCGATTTAAAGTTTTTGTTGCAAATCGAATTGCAACCATTCATGAACTTTCAGAGCCATCGCAGTGGCGTCATGTGGAACGAAGGATAATCCAGCTGACGTTGCTTCGAGGGGAGTAATGCCTAGCAAATTGAACAAGTGCAACATGTGGTTTCAGGGACCAAACTTTCTTTGTGATTCGGAGGAAAACTGGCCTGAAAGACGCAAAGATAATTACCACAGGTTTCAGATAATGATCCGAAAACAAAACGCACGTCAGTGTGTTGCAACAACTGGAAAAATCGAAAGCCAGCTCTATTCAAAAATCTTGAAAATATTATCATGGACGAAGCTATGTATAAGTGTTGCCTGGTTGTGTCGCTTCAAGAAATGTTTTCGTGGAAGTATGGTAAGAAGGATAAACTAAATTTCATTCAAATTGGATTGAGTGCTGATGAACTCAAGATGGCACTGCACTAATGTCATTCCGAGCTTGTTACAAGATGAAGCACTTTTCTAGTGAAGATTGTGGAAAACTGACTAATCATTCAAGTTTGAAGAGTTTGCAGACCATGCTTGATCGAGTGAGGTAATTTGCAGTTGGTGGAAGACTTCATGCGCTCAAGTTTATCTCGAGAAATCGAAAGCATCAACTGATTTACCATATCATCATCATGTATACAGACTTGATAATACGACCATTATCATCATCAAGAAGGACACAGTGGTGTATTGCCACATTTTGTCTGTGATCAGGGAAAATTTTGTATAATCAAAGGGCATTCTGCAATCAGAAATCGAATACGAAGATGTCTAAAGTGGTAAAATGATGCATTCTAAGTCCTGGAACACAAATTATCGGCACCATTACCAGAAGTTATGAAGGAACACCAGGAAATTTCTTCCTTTTCAGTACAGGAAGTAGATTGATGCGACGCGTAGTTGATTCAAGTCTGGCCGAGTGAAGTCAAAAAGATGGGCTGCTATATTCACTGCATGGCTACTAGAGCTCTCCATATTGAAGTTGTCAATTCTTTTGGACGCATCAGCATTTCTTGAGGCCTTTGATCGTTTTTACTGCAAGACGGGGTTTGCCTTTGAAGTGTTTTCTGACAATGGTACAAATTTTACTGCATCTAACAAATATCTGAAGGAGGGTGTGCAAAGATGGAACGAGCTCGGTTCATCAGAGTCTCAGCCAAGAGAAATAAAGGGAATTTTAACCCTCCTGCTGCCAGTCATTGGGGCGGTTGTTGGGGAACGCATGATACGCTCTGTCAGAAAAGTGTTAACTGCTCTTGTTGGGGAACGGCAGCTGACGGAGGCATCTTTCTACACATTCCTGACACAAGTAGAAAGGATACTGAATAACCGACCAATCACAGCCGTTGGAGATGACCCTAAGGATTGAAAGCGTTTAACACCTGGAATGTTACTGACTGGACGTCTAGATCCTTCATATCCATCTGATATATTTCTCAAGGCTGATGGATACAGAAAATCATGGAAGTTGGTTCAGTGGATGGCAGATCAATTTTGGAATCGTTGGGTGAAGGAGTATTTGCAAATACTACAGACTCGTCAAAAATGGCAACAACAAAAGAGGAATTTTGCTGTTGGAGATTTAGTGCTGGTTATGGACGAGAACTCTCCTCGTGGGTCTTGGCCTAAAGCTCTTGTGGAAGAGGTTTATCCAGACAAATATGGAAATGTTCGTCGAGTTCGCGTTAGAACAGCAAAGTCGACTTACATTCGGGACATAAGGAAGCTATGTTACTTAGAATCACCTTGATTTGTACATATTTTGATTTACACATTTCGTTTCGAATTGCACCAAATGTTAACTAGTGATGGGAAAGAAACTTGTCTGTATTTTGTTTAAATGTTTGAAAATAACTTTTGTTCAATTCGTTATTTTGAGGCCGGGAATGTTACAGACAAAGTTTCTTTGTTTTATTTTGCATATATTTGACCCGGGGTTATTTCGAGAGAAATCGGTCATTGCACTTTTGTCGAATGACCGCTAATAAACTACTCCCTTCAAGGCGATTGCACCATCTGTTCGTGGTAGGAATAGGCCTGTCGGCGGGAACAAAGTCTTTTTATCGATTTTTCTTTTCTCTCGTTTTTGTGTTTGTTTATTATTTCAAATCATTGCCAGTCGGCTGTTTACAATTTATTTGTGCTAAGAGTTTGCCGGTTAGTCTGTTAGTAATGCTAATTCATATGCCGTAATGAGCGGATTTATTCGCTTGTCTTTAAGTTAAATAATAGGGTTTGATTTGTTTTCATATTGTAATGTTGCTATTGTTTGCATCTTTAGAATTAAGTATGTTATAAACCTGCCTGTTGGGTTGGTCGTAAACTTTAGCAACCCTCAACCTCAACATAACTTTATTTGGACGTCTACATTCTACAATACTGTGATCGTTTGTGTCTCTACAATACTGGAATTATTTGTTCTTATCATCACACAATTTCGTCGTTTATTTATTCGTCTATATCGTACTTGTGCATGTAGACTGGTATTTTATCGACTGCATTACATTTCGTTCATATTCAAAGTTGTGGAGTTGTTAATTATCGAGAAACCTGGCAGGTTATATACATCAGGGGAAGTTAATAGCGCGAAGTGTCACCGCCCAACACGTTATAGGCTTCTTGTAGAGCCTCATCATAAGTGTTAAGTCGCTTATAATCTACATCTGGGTTGTGACTGTAAATTTTGCCTCATCAACTACTGACGCGTGTTTCAACCGAGAATATTTTAATTCATAAATTTGTTCAGTGTGTCTCAAATAACGACAGCAGCAAATTCTGCACATATATAAACAATTTATTTACACAAAGATGAAATTGTTCGCATAAGCCATAAATTTTATCCAAAAATTCACTTACAACACCATATCAACGTTTAAACTACAACGACCTTAGCACAGAACCTATATTTTATATAAATTCGAAATTATTTGACATTTATAAAATTTTACATCTTTTTTCTCAATATTTGCTCTTAATTAAATCCTTATTTTATAAACAAATCAATTTAATTTTTTAAAATGTCCATACTAAATAAATTCTGGGTAATATACTATCAATATCTTATAGTTAATTGTAAGTGTAAAGCGGTTCTGGTACAAAACGCCGGATTGCCATTTCTGTCTGCACAATTTTCCACTTCTGACAAGAATCCCATGTGACACGGTCTGGGCCATCTTCATCATCAACGATCTCGTCCGGTATTCGGTAATGCTTGATCCCGTAAAGTCTTCCATTTAAATTGTACTCGGTGCACCGATTAAACCACCAGCCACCACCGTAGGTATCCGCACAATTTCGGTTTTCCCATCGGTCATTGTCACTATCACGTGCTGTGAACTTCATACCGTTGTGCATGTTGGCAAAATCACGACTTGCTTTTTGATGACTTGCAGATATTGAAAGTTTGAAATTTTCTTTCTCGTCTCCAATATAAAATTGGCTGTAATTGCAAATAAAATTGTAATTCTGATACATTCTTGCGTCAATAATATCTATTCATAAATATTAAATATTATTATTCGAACCATATTTGTGGTGGCGATTAAATACAGTTTGCAGGCTCGCTCAATCAACAATTGACAACGTAAATCGTTATTGTTCAGTTGATTTTGGCGTGTAAAAGGTATATATTGAAAAATCGCCATTAATAGTAGGTCGAATATGGAATTATTGTTTTACGTACAACAAAATTGTTCGTTAATAAATAAATTATAAAATATCAAGCATAGCAAAAATTGTAAGATTGTTCAAGAAAAATTAAAAAAAAAAACTTACTCAAAATAAGTCGTAAATTTTCGTCCATCTTCTAATTTTACTGTAATCCTAAGCTCATGTGGAAAAGCATCGGTGAAATGATGAATTGCTTCCAAGCCTGATAGTAAAAGAATAACATTTTGAGTTGATCAAATAACAAGTTTATAGTTTTTTATATTGTAGATTCATCCTGTAACAAAATTTAGGGTTAGGTTCTCACCCATCCAGTAGTCTCCTGTTGCCATCCCAAAACCATTAACATACTCCCTCATATCTCGGTCAAAGGATTCCAATCCTAGATATCGGCGTTGGATAACCTGGCACACAAAACACATCAGTCGTAAATAATTTGATATGAAGACGACGAGGGAAGTTATAGAGAAAATGAATAAGGATAAAATATATCTATATATAAAAGAACAATAAAGTACTGTTACGATAACAACTAATATACATACCATCCACCCGGCATTTCCTGCTCCTCCGCTGCAGTCACAATAAATCCATGTTCCTTGTGAAATAGGTTCACTCCTCTTTTTGTAGTCGAAAAATGCCGTTTGTCCATGTTCGGCCATGCCAACCGGATAGTTATTACTCAATTTCGAACAAACGTCAATACAATCAGAAGGAGCATCTAAAAAATTAGATAGCCTAAATTTAGTAAAATTGGTATAATCTGGTTGGTGACAATAAAACTGTGAAAAATTCTATAAACGAAATATTTAATATTTGAAGACACTCCACAAAACCAATTGGTAAATATTAATTGCGTTTTGTTTTATCAATAAATAATATATATTGCTTGGTAGATTCTATGGTTTTATGATTGTTAAAGTGTTTTTTAATCTTTTTTTTAACTCCACACACAAAAACCTCACAATTAACTCCACACCTGATTTTCTGCATCTTCCGCCCCAGTTGGGTGAGGGCGCTAATACAATTCTGCCCTCGGGATCGATTCTAGATTCTCGTGTCACACATCTTAAATATGGTTCGCAATCTCCTTCCATATTGAAGTCACCACCGCATGTTTCACCTTCTTGTTTAGCGCATCTGTTGCAACAGCTGAAAATAAATGTAACTTGGCGTTTATAATTGTACTTTTGAATACATCTACATTTTAATCTCATTTTCAAAGTTGAACTACTTATACTCTCGAGACTTGCTTTTGCATCAAAAAATTGGAAACAATATTTGGCATTTTCACTCCGAAGTTTCTCTATAGAGGTTTATAGTAAACATACAATCATTTTGTGATGACACAGTTTAAAACAATCCATGTCACGTGATCAGAGATAATAAAAAAATTGTTGCTACCGTAGAAATAGAAATGGAAACAATTATTCTTCGGTTATACTTACTTGCAAAGGCCAGCTGTTTCGGATCCGGGACAATTGAGTTTTGGACATTTTCTTTTTACTTCTATAGTTTCTCCTTTATCGTTGACCATTAGTTCTTCACATGGAACACAACTCAGAGTGTTTGCTGAGTGGAACAAAGTTAAGCTAAGCAATATAGACACCCCAAGTATTTTCATGCTGTTTCTTTTTCTATTGTCAAGAGCTAGTTATAAACTGTTAATGAAACATTTAATGATATTATTTGACGAAGACAAAAATAATTTAATGGCATATGAGAGTCACTCAATACATATGTCTAAAATTCCATTCCATATATCAAATTAGTAAAAATAAATTTAAAATTTTGTTTTGCATTATTCTACATTATCAAACGGCATATATCGAACAGGAGAAATATTTTTGAAGGTCTGAATCTATTATCGTAATAATATTTTGGAGATACATTTTCCATCTATATTATAGACTTTCTTTTGCAAAATACTATATTAGTTTTACATTGAAGCATACATTAAACGAAAAAAAGATTTGAATTTTCTTAACTTATTTACGGTAGTAACGTTGTTTATAGAAAGTCTGATATAACGAATTTAACTAATAAAAACTGAAAATTAAAAATTACACTATTCATGAATAGAAACTTTTATACGGAGACACTATAAGCAATAAAATATGCAATTATAGTAACCACTTGCAACTGTGATTGAAGCCGTTAAATTGATGTCGTTTATATAGAAATTGTGTCCTGATTTTGCTCATTAAAATAATTTTGCACGAAGTCGTTGCAAAATATTTATCAGCCGCGGGTCATATCTTCTTCGTCATATGTCAAGTCATCTGTAGTTTAATTTATGTATGGGTATCGGTGGACTGATTCTATCATTTTAAACTATGTTATAAAAATAAATCTGAAGTTGAATTTTTCTTTTTTTTTGTTTGACAGATTTTTCACAAACTCGTGAGAAATCGGTTATACAGTTTTTCCAACTATAAGCTATATCAAATCAATAAAGCCTGATTTACCATATGCCCCAGATAATTTTTCTATGTATTGCCGGTTAGTTTTTGACGTTTGAGCTGAAAAGCAAGATGAACATAATAAAAAAATTGGTAAATTCCTGTTAACTTAGCTGGGTATATGCAGAACTAAAATCTTCACCAACCGCTTCATTTTGAATCAAATAATGCGTATGGCTTGATGTGCGCAATTTCAATCGCGACTTCAGAGATTGAAATATTGTTCATTCTGGGCATTTATGTTTTAAATTTGTCCTAAATATTTGAATAACAAAATCAATATATTAATAAGAAACATTTTTTTTCAGATATTTATATCATGAAGTATAGCAGAATAATTTTGCCAGCCTGATAAAACTTTATATTCTATGGTAATTTTACTTTTTATTATTTAATTTTAACTAATCAAATTGTTACATCTTTTGATTCAATGCGATATATGAAAATAATTTGATATAACAAATGATATAACAGCAGGTTATTTTTAATTAGTCAAATAAATAATATAAATTGTTGTTAAATTTAATTCGGGTTAAAGCAATACAATAACGTCATTGTTAGCGTACCGCATTACGCACTGATTGTAACTCATCTATCTGACAAGGCAATTTCTTCTGAACTGGGTCAATATAATTAACTTCACCCTGGGGCGCTCAATTTTCTATATTGTCTTTATCAAACTACGGTGGTATTACTAATTGGTGTGCTAATTTGGAAACGTTCAGATCAATATTGCTAAAAATAAATAGATATAGGCTCAAAATAATAAAAAAATCCGAGAATGCTTGCTAAATTAGAAATGAAGACTTCCACGATGTAAAAGTATCAAAGCAATTGTTTCTGGTTTACTCATATCTCAACAAAACAACAAAAACAAAATGGCAACAAAATTGAATATTACAAAACTTAAAGCCATTTCAATATCACAGATAAAGTCAAAGCTATCCAAAAAATATGTTTGTAAATAATTCCTTTCCAAATAAGCCTATATTTACTCAAGTAAGATTAAAACCCTGAGTTGCTATTTGTGAATTATATCGAATGTTTTTCATTTTTTTTGTTTATCGTTAATTGATCTACTTCATTGCTTACGCACGATGTCCAAATTATTTAAACATTCATTCTCTTCAGTGATATTTATTAAATTTACAAGGTTTTCATAATATATATTTTCATGCGTGGTGTTAGAAGTAATTGGAGATTAAAAAAATCAGATATTTAGGCATTTATGGACAAAAATTATACCACTTCAACATAATATGATTATGTTGGAGAACCAAACTCAAATCAAACAAAATTTGGTGCTCCCGAAGTATGCGAACCAAGATGACGGACATCGGAACGTAACATGGGTAACAGGTTAGGGTTAGGCGATAATTTTTTTCCAATTTTCCTTATTTTAGTTCTATTATCAATTTGGAGACTAGCCAAGAGCCTCCCGTAGTATTTATACCTAAAATTATGGCCTAACCCTAACCTAGTACACATATTACATTCCGATGTCCGCCATCTTGGTTTGCATACTTCGGGAGCCCCCAAAATTTATTGTTTATATTTTAAACAATCCGAGGGACCATGATCTTCAAATTATAATAAAAAGAATTGCACTATATTATGTTAAATTGTACAATGTCCAAGTTTTGCAATTTTGATGAACCTAAGTCAATGGCTGTATTGTTGTGAATCAGACATCGAGTGACGTAAACGCTGGAACTCGGATTCAATTGTGTTGCTGCGGGATGACGGCAACAATATCATGATTCTATCCTTTCCTGAACGTAAGTTTGATTCATTTTTCCGGTAAAACAGCGGGCTGATTTCAAGTAAGAATTTAGAATCTTTTCATGGGCTAAAGTTTCGGGACGTAATTGTAAGTTGTGTATACTTAAGAATTTTTTAAAAACATGAAGTGAATTGTATTGGTATTATGATGCTGTTGTTAGAATTCTTTTTGTTTTTATGAAAAAATCGCCTCTCTCTATAATTACTGGACCAATTGTTCTGAAATTTTCAGTGGTTAAAGAGTGTTGTTGTCGCTAGAAGGCTATTACTTTCATATTAATTCAAAGATTTCTGTGAGTTCTGTGAGATTCGTTTTCTTCTGTGTGTGTGATGGTGTAATCAAAATTTAAAATTGCGCACCCTGTGGCGGTTCCGCTATCGGGAAGACGACCGCGGTGAAAGATTGTGAAAGATTAGATACCCGTACTACGTCGTTTGACTTTCGTGTCCATATATCTGAGTATTGCTCTCTTTTTTATATTTACTTTTTGTTTTCCATGTTTGAGTGGCCAGAATACTATCCGCCTGAACTTTTTCATTGCCGTAGATATAAATTTTATTTTAATCTGCTCAAAGCAGTGGTTCTCAACCTTTTACTGGCCGCGTACCACTATATATACTGTTTTTACTATGAACGCGTACCACCGACAAAGCTCCTTATTTGGCGTGAGGAAAAGGACACAAAAAACGTGCTATAGGAGTATTTTATAATGTAGCATTACATCTTCTGCGGCGTAACATGCATAAGGGACAAAAACATGCTCATATCGCTTCATTTAAAGTGGGCATTAGCGGGCGAGGGCGATCTCTAAAGACAAGTACGGATAGCGCACAATAGTTTAAAAATTACCCCTATACTTTACTGTGGCAAACTTGATTCCCATTCTAAGAGTGTTTTGATGTGTTGGCGCATATAAACTGGTTTACGTGTTTAAGAGAATCCTTTTTATTAAAATTAATCATGTGTCATTTGCAAGTACTGATATAGGTAAGTTTAGCCTTGTCCATCGCAGCATTTGCGAGATTCAATTTTGATTACTGCAACTAAAATAAAGCTCCGCGGAAGACATAATGACAATTAAGTTAATTAAGTCACAATTATTTTCTTGAAACACAACTGAAAACTGACAAATATCACTCAAAACTACAAAAACGAGGCAATGTTTGCAACCATGCTTGAATATCTGTTTGAGCGACGGAAGTGTCTGAGCGGCTAGGTTCAGAAATTGCAAGTGTTACGACTTGCGTCATTATTGACTTTTTTGCTGATTGGTTATAATTACAGCGAAAACAAGAATACTGATGCTTGGGGAAACATCCATAAGCGCTGTTCATCGAATTCATACTGTAAGGAAGATAAAGCGTATCCGGCATATTTTAGCCAACTGAAAGGTTAATTGTTTCAATAATTCAAATCTGCTCGCGTATCACTTGAAAAGCTCCCACAGGTTGAGAACCAATGGCTTAAAGTATAAACGCATGTTATATATATTGAACACTGCTACAGTATCTTTTCATTTAAGCAAAGTATAATATTTCCAACTTATTTATTTTCAATAGTTCTGCTTGGATAGTTGGGTGAAGACAATGGAAAGCTATTACAACTCAAAGGAATTCCTTGAATGGAAGAAATTTGAGAGTGAACGAAACGCTGAGTTTGGGGAAATTCCAGTAAATTCATTTTTCTTCGTATAATCAGACACTTACTTGATGATTTGTAAACTATCAGACCATAAATATTGCTACCCCCTGCAAATAATAAATTGTTGTAATAAAGGAAGTAAATTTTCAGAAAATGACTTGGCAACGTCGATGTAAATAATTTCCTATAAATTTTGTTCAGTGGGGCATTTTAATTTGTTAGGTTCCTCACAAGAAGCCATCGATTCTTCAAGTAACTATTTTAAAAGGGAGAGATATCGATAGGTCGAGTATTTTGAATATAGGTAAGTGGCACTAAGGTTGGTTTTATATGTGGCAAATAGGTGTAAGGTAAAAATTCTAATATAAGGTAGTTGTCTTTATACAAAAGCGAAAGTTGCTTCAAATTTTTTTTTCTAGTCGATAAACCGAATCCTCAGATTATGATAGAATATCCAATTGCTGACGGGCCAACAAAATTTACAACAACCCGCCAAATTGACACAATAAACCCCGTGTGGAACGAAAAATTTACATTTATTCTGCCCGATGACTATCAGGCGAATGATGAAGTGAAAAAGGCAAAATTGAAAGTGAGTTTACACTGGTCTATTGCAAATAAACACGTTTCGTGCACTTTAAAGATTTTGCACAATGAATGTTGATTTTATATATGTCTAAATATAAAAAGATTAGATTGTAAATGTGTAAGACTTTGGCGCAGAATATAGTTTTCTGTCTCGTCGGATATATAGGAAAAATTGGTATGTCGTCTACTTGCAAAGCTATATTGTAATCATGTAATGATGAAAAATTTAATTCGTAATGTATACAATAATAATATATACATTTCCAAACGCAACTAAGTCTTCAAGAATTATTTTAAAATGTAGTTTATGTAGTTTGTACTCATAGATTCGGATATCACAAACAACTACTCATCCTTTTTCTTCAGTTTTCTCTGATTGTAGAGGATTGGCATGACGACAATGACGTCATTGCAGAGGAGTTTTATAATCCATCAGACCTTCCGATTGGATTAGAGGTTGAGAATCAGATAGATTTTAAGGTGTACAACATTTTATAAATATTAATATTGAAAAAAAATCATTTTATTTGTAATTTTAACTTTATCAAAGTTAAGTTTCTAGATATATTCAAGTCTGCAGTATCTTCTTTAATTAAGACATATATCGTACTATACTATTCTTATACAGAGAGGAACTGTTACTATGAGATTCAAAAAAGAAGTTGGGTAAGTTTATTAAACATACATAACAGAAACATTATTGTAATTCTCGCTACTTATTGGACACGAAATGTATCGTTTCGTTATTATTGAACACGTAGTGGACATAGCGATCATTTCAATATTATGTTGTTGTTGTTCTTTTGAGACTTTTTGGACACCTACTGGAAAATCTAAAAAGTCGCTTTTCTCTTTGATTACTGGACCAATTGCTCAGTGGTTACAGATAAAAATTTTCTCCAGAAGGCTATCACCTTTTTTTATTTCAAATATTTCTGTTAGCTCTGTGAGATTTGTTTTTGTTTGCTATGACGTCACCGAACGTTCTGCGGACATCGGACGCCATTTTGTGTCCGACTGTACTGCTTCGCTTAGTGTGAATATATTTGTAGAATGTGATCTGACGGTACGGTAAACCATACTGTACTGCGAACGGACGTGTCCATATATTTGGGCGTAACTCTCTTGTTATTATTATTATGTTGTTGTTATAATTCATCACCTTGTGGCGGTACGGCATTCGCGTTGGTTGCTTTCTGGTGGTCAGGCGAAGTCGTGAAGACTACGGTACCGGTAGTGAAAGATTGCATACCCGTACTACTTTCTTATGGCTTTCGTGTCCATATATCTAAGCATCGCTAACTTGTTTCTAAATCGAAGCCGGAGCAGTTTAATTCTTTAAAAACGGAAATGAAAATTTGAAACATTACTTTTTAGAGTTGAGCCAAATATTCGCTTCTCAATGAAACTTTCGGACGAAGAGATGAATTTTCGATATAAGCGAATTCCAAAAACGATGAAAGCATTACAAAATATACTCGGTGTGGACGATGGTCCCAAAGATATATTCGAGGTAAACCTATTTCTATGACAATATTCTAGTATAATGGTCTGATTACAACGACATATTTCAATATTTATTTCACTTCCAGACGCCAGTTATATCTATGGCATGTTCCGGAGGTGGATTCAGAGCTATGGTTGGAATGTGTGGCGTTGCTGAAGCCCTCACTGAGACAGGATTGCTCGATTGTATGACATACACTGCTGGAGTGTCAGGGTCCGGCTGGTGAGTGAACATTTGGTAAATTTAATTGTCCTATTTCCTAATTTTGCTTTAAACACCGTCGTTTGAACGCCGATTCACTTCGTGTTGAAAAAGGAATAAGTGCTTTGAGAGGGATAAGCAAAGGATACGAAGAATGAAAAGTGTAGGATACGTGGTTGTTTCCCTATAACTGCTTGGTGCCTAGACTGCATGGGCTTCTATCTATGTTCGTTCCAAAGTCTGTTGTGATGAAGCATTAAAATGACTCAACTTAGATTGAGGCATAAACTTGCTTGTTGCGGTTGAGATGTGTCCGGTACTAGAGTTGAAAGTCAAGAGAACAAATTTCGAAACTCAAAGATCAAAACGTGGACAGTGCATCGCGCTCTTGATGAGGGTTCGCGACGAAAATTGTAAAGTGAAGATTTATTTAATCCTTGGTAAGGTGGTGGGCATGGGATTTATACACAAATTTCGATCTGCGATGCCAGATGCGATATGAGATAATTATGTATATTAATGCATTTGATAATATTCATATGTATAAATATATATAATCATCTCATATGAATATTTTTTGCGTATTTCAGGTACTTATCTAGTGCTTACGCACGACATGCGATGAGAGATGAAATAAAACAAAAAATGTATCACGAATGGTTGAAACAATCGGTATCAACTTCAATTACTGGAGAAATTTTGAGCGTAGAAAAGATGATTGAATTCGGGTACGTTTCTTAGGCTCAGTTATTATGAAGTATACATTCGTTTTTCATCAACAACTTCTTTGTTCTTGGCCAGTTGTGTATACCAGAGTTACGAAATACTTAATCGCTATGAATATCACATATTGTATTCACTGACCAACAATACCGGGTAAAAAATGAGGAATTAAATAATGAGAAAAAACTATAAACAAGAGAGCACACACTCAGATAATAAGTTGATAGTACAAAAGATGGTCTTCATGTCTTTTTAACAGCGCCGTATCAGCTCAAAAGAAGAAATATCATCAACCAGTGACAATTGTGGATTACTTCGGATATTGCATGAGTAGCAAAACTGTAGGAACCTTGGTGAGTTTATGCAAAATTTCAACACATTAATATAGGTTCTATAATTAGTAAATATAGCAATGCTTTGCATGCAACAAACATCTATATATCTACATAAATATCACATCTATTATCTCTATCAAAAACTTTGGTTTTAGAAAAGAACAATTTTCTCAAACATTATTACACTAACCAACGTATTTCAATCATTTTACAGTATTCATCAATGAAATTATCTGATATGCGACCATACATCTTTGAAGCAAATGTTCCATATTTGATACTGGCTTCTCATCAAGTTCATGATGTTGTTGATACTTGGTCGTATCATGGTAAAATTTATATTTTATTGAAACGTTTAGGAAATGAAAAATGTGTGAAAAACTAAAAAAGTCAGACTAAAAAGCATAATGATCACTGTTTATTGATACCAAGCTCGTCTTATTTTAAAATGAGATAATATACTTGAATTTTATGTCAATACTTACGTTTGAAGTCGAAGAAATGCCGTGGTAACTAATAGCAACAGCGATAAAATATTAAGTTAAGTAACGTTAACAGTGATCATATTAAAACGATGACTTTTTGTAACAAGTTGGTTGTGTTTGATCGCTTGATACTTTTCTTCGCAAAATTATATTTGGTGTGTATAATCGTGTCTATTCATTTTTTAAATTGAACAATTCAGCTCAATGCAACATTACACCGTTTGAGTTTGAACTTCCACAGTATGGAATAAACATCGACATCAAGTATTTCAACAGTGAATTTTATCGTGGAATTGTCAACAGACAAAATCCCGAGACTACGTTACATTATATCCAAGGAGTAATTGGAAGCGTGTTTAGTCTTCGATTGGCGAAAGTTATTCGTATACCTTGTGAAGAGGAAGATGAAAGTGGTGGGTTTTGAGATTGATGTTTGATAAATTTTCAATGACATTTTTTTATTAAAGTTTGTTTTTGTAAAATCTATATAGTATTGCCTTAGGCAAAAATCTCATTTCAGGATTTTGTGGAATTTAAGAAAGAAATACAGATTACACTGTGCAAACAAAATTTTTTTTTTGTGTTTTCAACTTTTTACCTAGATTTCTTGTTAGCTTTTGACACGTACAATAAGAAAATCATATTAATAATTTAAAATTTCGTTTATTTCAAATGGGAGGATTTCCCATAATCGGTTTTCGTTATATAAAACTTTCATTAGATATTTATTAAAAATAGTACATCGGACACATATATTCAACTGATGATATACAGTATACGCTTTATGTACTGCAAAATTTAGTTTCTGCTATACTTTATGTGTTTTAGATTTGTTTGATAATGTTTCAAACGAAGTTGAGAAATTAAGAAGAAAGCGAGACTCGTCTGGTTTCATCGATAGTGCGAAATCAAGGATGGTCGACTGGTTCAAGTATAAGCATATCTTTCTTTAATTATAAGTACATTATTTGAGAGCCATCTAGTAATGAAGAAAAGGCCATATTTTTCCTCCAAAAATTAAATAAGCAAAGCAATACAAATATCTACTTACAGTAATATATTTATTAAAAAAAAGTACACACGAGACTAAGCACGTGTGAATGTAACATGAAAATAAAACTTATTTTTTAGTCAACTGCACTCATTTATGGACAGAAGTTTCTTTATCAAACGGACTCCAGAAATTTTGAACTTTGCTCGAGGCCATGATGACATCCAACGATTTGAACTGAATCCTCATTACATACCAAAGGAAGGTTAATTGGGCTGGATGATAAATACTTTATCTTGCGCACACGCTACTTACTGTCTTACTACATCTTTATAAATCAATTGATATATTTTTCTCCAAATTCATTATGTTCAGCTTAGATCAATAACAGCACTCGTATTTTACTTGTAAATGCTTTAGAGTTTTGTGATCTCATTGGTCTTTATACTATTTTGACACAGGAGAGGATCCTACAACTACTTTGGAGGGTCTATCACCCTCTGAAGACACAACATTGCTCGTCGATGGAGGTAATGTTGTGATTTTTATAAATTTACCATCATGATATGGTTGAGTTTGATACTTGCTGAAATGACCTTAGTACTGTTGCTGACCATAAATAATGAAAATATGCCGCATATACATCTTCAGCGCTCCTTTTTTTTACCAGGTCTTTTAGTCAACGTACCGACAAATCCTGTGCTGCGTCCTCAGCGAGCCACGGACATTTTATTCGTTTTTGACTTTGCTCATTCCGGAGAAGAAATATCAGAACATTGGGTAAGATAATATACTCGTCACCCGCAGGGTATAAATGCTACACACAACATATATTGACTGTAGTTTCGTATTTATTGGGGAAAAAAGTGAACCTATGGGTCGTTTTGCTGAGTTCCTGTTGATGGTATTGTTGGGGAAATCTTTTTTCTCGCAACCAATCGACTAATCGATGTAAATTTTTCATCGCTTACTAGATGAAAGAAATCGCTATTACTCTTTATTTTTTTCCAAATATCCTCCATGTACAAGGGGACGCGATATTTCACCAACAATTTTGCTGTTTCATTTTATTTGAAGGTTATCAGATTTTATTGTTTGATGGCCCCCGTACTGTTTGTCAGTCAATTATTTTATGCAATACCGTTTATTACTAATATTATGCTTGAACATGGCTGTCTTGCTTCTTTAAGAAATCGTGCTTGGTATTGAAGTAGACAAACAAAAATGAACTTATAAACGTGTTGAAAATTTTTTTTTTACAAACTTTTCAGGTACTACAGAAAGCAGTTAAACTGGCACGAATGGGAGGCCTGAAGTTTCCACCAATACACATTGACAAAATTAAGGAAGAACCATGGCGTGAATTCTATATATTTGAAGATGCTGACGATTCAGAATGCCCAATAGTTTTCTATTTTTATCCATGTACAGAGAAATTTAAGAGATTGAAAACTTATGAATCGAGTCGCAAAAATCGAGGTAATGAAAACTCTAACATCCGTCAATTACACACTCATTAAATATTTTCATCTACTTCATTATACTTTTGTCTTCGTTTTATTTATTCTTAATTAATCCAAAGTTTACCAACTTAAAAGCCCTAGATATCGCAAAGGGTGATATTGTAACGAACAAGCCACACGTTATCAAATCACACAACGGACAGTTTGCGTTTACTATAACAGAACACTTTTGTAATTCACATAGAATAATCTTTATAGAATTGAAACCTTGTATCTATCAATGCTTCAAATAGAAACATAGAGCACCGGAATGCAAAAATGTTTAATAAATCAAAGGGATTTTTCCTAGATAAAAATGTAACATACTGGGAAGGATTTACCGATTTTGACGTCATGGATTCAGACACATATGGCATGACAAACTCTGATTACTCCGATGTTGATTTTGAGCGATTACGAGAACTGATGTGGTTCAACGTCATCATCAATGTCGAGGTAAATATATCACTCACAATTTTAAGGGACGCTTTTTGGACACGTCAGTGGACATACCGATCGTTTCAATATTATGTTGTTGTTGTTTTTCGTCATCATCATCATTAAAAAATCGCTTTTCTCTTCGAATACTGGACCAATTGCTTTGAAATTTTCAGTGGTTGAAGATTGATTTTTTTGCCAGAAGGCTATTACTTTTATTTATTCCTGAACTTTATATGAATCTTATGAGATCTAATGTTTCATCCAAAATTGCGCTGAATTACTTTTTAATTATCGGAACACGGTTTTTGATCCACCATGCGTGACGGCTGACTGTGAAAATTCTTGTGACTGAAAACTCGGAAGTTTTTTGAGGATACGGTACCGGTAACGTCAAAGGTAAGGACTGCTTCGCGCTGCTCCACGTGTCCATATATTTTAGCGTTGCTTCCTTGTATTTTTATTTTATCATTCATTACCCAGCCACGTTTTACATTTTAGGTGATGAAACGTAAAATAAAAGATAAGATCCTCCAAAAACGGACTCTAAAACAGCAGCAGTCTGGTTGATCTCCACTTCGTTTCGCTACATTCTTTCGCATAAAACAATTTCATAAATATAATAAATACAACATTTTCTGCAGTAACTACATATTTGTCGTTTTGAATGTCAATTGATTGAATCAATTGTGTATATTTCATTCTATATCACTGTAACAACAAAAAAAGTTTCATTGTGAATCAGTCTTGGGGATATCCAAATTAGGTAAATTAGAAAGACGAAATATTAGACTGTGAAATACCACATTACATATGTGTCAAATTTGGACATAACAAGCCTAAGTTTTCTAACGCATAAAATAGAAGATAATGATAAGGTATCATTTTTATCCCGGAGGAGTGAAAAGTCGATGACCCCTGAATCACGTGGAGTATCACGGCATGCCGTCTGGCTACCAGTCCATGTCGTATGAGATTAGTCAGCCAGTTATTTGTTTGAGATGCATGGACTTGATAGTGGAGAAAGCCGTAACAGACCAGCGGTTACGTGAACCACCCTACGGCAGCGAGGAGTCTAGCAATCTTCTTGCACATATTTAAACCCCACGGGATTCGGATCTACGCAGAGGAATCAGAGGTGTGGTGGCAAGCGTATTCCTAATTCTTAGCACGTTGCGCCACGCCGGCGAGCGCGGGACAGAACACGCTTGTTTTTCTTACACTTTAAATACAAATACTTTATCATCAAAAAAGTTATTTGTCTCTAAAGTAATTGATAACACAAATTGCCTCCCAGTCATGTACCGAAAAAACCTGTGTATTTGATATTCATATATGTATGCAGTGGTGGGATTTGTTATGTAAAATCTATGGTCTCGCGGAATTTTATGAGATCAGCGAACCGGTTGGCATTACTGGTTACTGTCAATGTTCTGTTGTAACAGACAGGTTGGAAAATATGACTTTTGTGAAAGAAAGGCAGACAAAAAATTCAAATCCCACCACTGTATGTATGTATATATTGATTTCTTCTTTTGACGAAATAAACTATCTTTCTCACTCTTTCTCATTCTCTTATGCCTTATGGTCAGTTAGCATTCGTAAAGACTCTCTAGCGCTGTATTTCACACACCAAATAATAGATGCCAGATAAAATATGTTATTGACTTCAAGAGTTATTTTATTTGTTTTTCCTTGCTTATTATTTGTGCAAAAATTAAATTAAATATTTATATTTTTAAGATATGATATAATTTCATAAATTATATTGCATAAAAATGTGTTCATTCATACCTTACGAGTGGTATATTGGAAACAATTCGGAGACTGTATTTTTTCTTTGGCAACGGTATTAATAGCGCCAAAGTCCAAAACAAAGGTTTAAACTTAAGCAGAAAGTAGTCGACGGGTCCGTAATTGATCCGAAACTATCGTTGTTAGACTGTTGGAATTACAGAATTAGATTCAAAATTAAGATCTTGTGAAGCCGATAGCGTTATTGCTGGATTGAGTATTTTTAACTCTGTATGTTAGCGATTTTATTTGAAAATGCCAAAACGAAAAAAGAGAACCACCCTGAAACCAAAATCGACCTTGTCTTTGGAAAGGACTGATCGAATTGATGCTTTGTATGAAGATTGGAAATCTACTGGTAAGCTGCAGATTTATCTAGGCCACCGGTACCGGTATATCTCATAGGTTACATAAAATCTAAAAACTCTATCTACTGATGGTACCGTACCAGTCTACCAGTCTGGATTTCATGGCCTTTTTGAACGAGAAATCGGGCGTGCAATCAGAAATTCCCGCGTGCAAATAAGAATTCCTGGCGTGCAATTATAGCTCACGACGTGCAAAACAACTGCACTCGCGTGCAACTGACTTTGACATCAGATACCTCTCAATACATCCGCGTAAAATTACCGGTATCGGATAAAAAATACGTTGAATCAGAGAAAAAATGGACGTTTGACCTTTGACCCCAAACATTATTTCTACAGTTTGTCGCTAATTTTGAGAGCGTTTGTGCGACTTTGGATACCGGTACTGTTCAGTACATCCGCGTAAAATTATTGGATAAAAAATACGTTGAACCAGAGCAAAATGGACATACTTTGTCATTAATTTTGGTAGTGTTTTTACGTAGAATTAATGGATAAAAAATACGTCAAATTAGAGCAAAATGGACGTTTGACATTTGACCCCAAACATCATTTTCTACTTTGTCACTAATTTTGGGAGTGTTTGAGCAACTTTAGATACCGGTACTGTTCAGTACATTTGTGTAAAATTATTGTATGAAAAATACGCTGAATCAGAGCCGTACTTGGCCATTGGTGCGGAGGCGATCTTTTCGTCCATAACTATTCTCACGGGATTCCTATTTCCTATCATTCAACACGATATGGACCTTTCCCCGTGCATCGACTTCCTTGTTTACTTCGTGACATTGGCCAATCAGCAAGATGCAAAAAAGGACGTAACAATGAGAGGAATTTTTCGCGGGTCAAAGGTTGGGGAAAGGTCCATGGTCTTTTTGCTTCACAATATTTCGATCAGACCAAATCTTGCAGGCTGGTATTTGTCGACAATTGTGGAGTTATAATATTTTGGCATCTTTATATTACTGGATTATTGATTTTAAAACCATTTAAACCGATTTACATTGGTGAGCAATTGCAAATTTTCGGCGTGCAAAATTGATTTCGCTCGCGTGCATTTTTGCGGAGCGCTAGCGCCCTCGGGCGTGCACCTGCCATGGAATCCAGTCTGGCCAGTCTACAGTCCTGCAGTCAGACAGTCATACCACTGTACCAGCTGCTGTACCACTGTACCAGTCTGGTGGTCTGTGATTTCCAGACGGGATTCCATGGCGGGTGCTGGCGCTCCGCAAAAATGCACGAGAGCAAATTCAATTTTGCACGTCGAAAGTTTGCAATTCTGCAATTACTCATCAATAAAAATCGGTTTTAAATGATTTTTGAATCAATAATCCGGTAATTTAAAGATCCAAAAAAATTGTAGTCCCACAATTGTCGACTACATACTAGCTTCAGAGATTGCAAGATTTGGCCTGATCGAAAATTGCAAAGCAAGAAAGTCCATAGCCTATTTCATAATCGCTTGGCAGTATTGCTGCGTGACATCGTGTTGAATGATAGGAATCCCCGTAAGGATAGTTATGGGAGAAAAGATTGCCAGACTTCTCGCCACTGATAAGTTACGACTCTGATTCAGCGTATTTTTTATAAGATAATTTTTACGCAAAAATACTCCCAAAATTAATGTTTAGGTATAAAAATATTGCTTGAGGTCAAACATCTATTTTTTGCTCTAATTCAATGTATTTTTTCATCTAATAAAATAATTCTAAGTAAAAACACTCCTAAAATTAATGACAAAGTATAGAAATAATGGTTGGGGGTCAAACTACCATTTTGCTCTGTTTGTTACCTTGCTGCCTTGAGTTTAGCTATACACGCAGCAATGCAGTAAACAGAGCGTAAACACATCTGTAGCATGAATTAAATTGAAATCGGGAAGTAGAAACACATACAAAAATATGTGATTTCTAAAAAACACATATCATTTATTAAGGCAGTATGACACAGTTCTCTGAATCCAAGAATAGCCCCCACATTAGAAGAGATCAATTATAACAGTAAATTGTTACCAGTAACCCCCCCCTACAAGGCAATCTGCGCCTCCATACCGTCAAAAATCAGCGAACCGGCAAACTAAAATAAAGCGCAATCTAAAAACGTCATCACTTGATTCCTTGAAAGAAAAAAGAATCCAATTTACTGAAGGAAAAAGTTCCACTAGCATTCAAGTGTCTTTAGCAAAAAAAACACAATTTTGGTCACATGCCACACTCTGACACACGTCACGTTTAATTTAGATTATTATGGATACATCCATGGTACGCCCTCGTTTCAGAGACAAATTGAGTGTTTGTTTTATTGTACCAAATATTGTGGAACTGGAAAACTGTGCCCTACTTTATGGCAATGGCCATAAATCTTTTTTCACAGCGACAATCATTGAAGATACAAATTTTTTATATCTCAAATTAACAAATTTATTCTGCTCTAGGCACTTATCAATGCCAAATTTTTTTTGTTTTCAGTTGATTCAGAAAGAACGATGATCGTACACTATTTTGAAACGTTGAAACGACAAACACTCGCAAGAGTTGATCAATTAATGTTGCATCTTCCACCTGAAACTTTAAATATGACTGTCAAGGAATTTATAGAATTTGGTGAAACTGAGTGCACTGATAACAATAATGAACAACGCAAAGTTAAACAGAAAAATATTGAGAAGGAAAACATCATTCCAACAGAGGTAACTTTAGAAATAGGATTGATTTTTGTCATGGCTATATATCGAATTGTCACGAATATATATGTGCCTAAATTGTGATAGGATAATGATGTAACAATTGGCGGTATCTAGAACGCAAAAAAGTGAAAAACAAAGTGCTGAAACTGTTTCACATAAGTTCGGTGGGTCATATTAAATAGTTCCATGGCTTGAGTGCTGCGGTTGGGGAACCACTGCCTTATAGTAACATTAATGGATTGAAGCAAATTGTGCACCCTGGTATTGCGGTGTAGTTTAGCTTGTTTATATTATTGTCTAATTAACCTCGGCAGTTACCATAAATCAGGAGTCGGAACCTTTTTGGTCAACAGAGTCGTAAGGTACGTATTTTCAATTGCGGGACGGCTTAATCATATCGTGAACCATCCTCTCGTCTAGTTACCAGTCCTTGTGTGGGCATGGGATTAATTAGACAGTTATTTGTTTCTGATTCACAGACTTAATTAATTTAACGATGCAATGCTATTTAATGATATTCATATTATATATGTTTGTTATTTCTAGGCTGTTGTTGATGCAGTTGATAAACAGTTGCAAGATCTTATCAATATAGCTGGTGAGTATTTTATTTTATATATAATTATAAATTTTACAATAATGTTAATAAGATGTTACATTATTTAGAATTGGCCAATATTTATGTTTTTTAAATGATTCCTTTATTTTTTATAGTAATAATGAATTTAAAATAAGAATTCAAAATGTCTCATCTAGTTTTTCAATTCAGCAAATCAAATTTGAGGTTGTGGTATTGATTGAAAATTGAATACAATAATATAAAATCAAAATTTCCATTCTGATTTTTCTAAAATTTGAACCTTTTTGCATATGCTATATTGGGAGTTCAAACAAACAATAGCAGATAGCCATTTATATTTGAAATATTGTCTCCAGGATCTAGTGAGGCAGGTGGTAGCGACACACAAGGCAAAAAAACAACTCGTAAGAGGAAGCCACCGAAGACTACACGCAAAAAAGCTGCTAATAAAATGGTAAACTTTTTATATTTTAAGATTTTGAAGTAGTTTTGTAACTTTGCTAAAATTTAATATAAAACCAAATTCCATTGCTTAATGTCAGTTGAATTTACTAGTTCAATCTATTGCATGTTAATGATATAGGTAAAGTTAGATTGAATTTACTATCATTTTTTTTTTATTTTGTATTGAATTTTATTAAATGCTGGTCCTATAAATCTCATTAAAACTTGGAAATGTGTGCTTTCGTTGGAGATTTCAACTATGCAGCTTAAATATTTGAATTGTGACATGCATGCAAACGAGCAGAAAGAAAATATCTCAAACTTTCTATATAGTTTGGTTTGGATCTGTGTGATTTAAGTTCTACTAGTTTTATTATTCTAATAAATGTTATTGCATGTAGGTTGATACACAAGTATTGGAAACTCCTTGCCATACAACATCTGTACCGGAAAGTTGGCAAGATACTCCTTTTCTTATTCCACAAAGATCAAGGTTAGTAAAACAATTATTAATTTTATCTATTACAAGCAACAATTTTAAATATATTTAGCAATTTGCAAATTCTGACTTATTTAGGATATACCGAAAAGAATTATGTATTCCATTGTTTTGCAACCTTTTTCGTTATTAAGTTCCTTCCTTTGCCTATTTCAGAAGCTTTTATTCCTCCTAATGTCTCATGCATAAAAAGTACTTTGTATATTCAATTTTTAATGGATTTACATATGTGCAAGTCACACTAATACAGTTTTAGTAGTTGTTTCTATATAAGTATTATAGTATAGTAATACTACATCATATAGGAAGGTTGGTGTATATCAGGGGTCAGAACTTTTTGTCGCTCATGGGCCAAAAGTAAGGGTTGCAAGTCATTGATGGGCTGCACATGTTTTTAGAAATTTGAAAACTGAACGAATGATTCTTTTTGTAATAAAAATCAAGCAGTGATACATCTCTCGAATGGAATATAGATTTATTTCCTCTCAAAAAATTCTTTTGAATATTTTCGCGCCACTTTTCTGCATTTTGTCTAATTATATTTAAATTATAGGGGCATTTAACAAGTAATTGTGAATTTTATACTTGTTAAGTTATAATATAATTTAGTCCACACAGGTCTCACAATAAATTCTGTTATGTAAAGAATATAATCGTCGAAACAGCTGTTTTGTTACTATAATTCAGTGAAGAATCGCAGGCCGGATTATATTACTACGCTGGCTGTAGGTTGCCGACCCCTGGTTTATATGAACAGAAATAAGTTGCATATATGTTTTGGAAATTGTAGATATTGAATAAACTTGAAATGTGTTTGAGAATTTACAGCAGGGTCCATATTTGTCGATCATTAAAATGCAAATAAAATCTTCTCTCTCTCTCTCTCTTCATCACTCACGCTGAAAAAAGAACTCTAATTCGCCCTAATTAAATGCAATTACTAAACACAAATTATGCATGGGTATGTATATTCATTGATAATCAGAATTAATATAAAAAAATCAATTTATTCAGAATCGGTAGTACTGCATCTTCTGAAGGAACCTCAAGCATAGTGCTTCGAACGCCTGCTAATTCAGCTGAAATTAAAACTCTTATTCCAAAATCATCATGGTTATCAGAAAGGGGGAGTCCTATCATGTGGGCGGTAAGTAAAAACAGTATTAAATTATACATGCTACTCCAATCAACCAAGTATCTTGCTTGAAATTCACATAAATTAAGATTTCACTTAGCAAATTTTTAATAAACAGCATTCTCAGCTTCACTAGTGACAATTATTGATGTGGATTGTGGATACATTTATTTTTTTTATTTCAGCCCACAAACCCAAATTTGCGGAAAAAAATTGAACAAAAAATGAGAGAGATTGAAGAAATTCAAAGACAAGCTTTACAATTCGGAGATGAATGATGTTTGTTTGTTTCTGATTTCAAAACTATGTCAATTATACTGGATGTTTATTACCTATGGATATCGCAGTTTTATCCAATCGCATTTAATGATCAGTTGTCTCACAATAAAATAAGCTCATGGCAGGGCTTGAGAACATGGTGGAACAGGATCTCTCCTCCACTGGCTAGATCGGGGGTGGGCACAATTTTTTAGTATAAGTGCCGCATGCTGCAAGTCAGAACTTTAAAAGAGCCGCAAAATTTGTGAATTTATTAATATTATTGAAATACCATGAACAGAAAAAAAAATTCACACAAGAGTCCAATAACAATAAATAGATAAACAAGGCAGCTATACTCAAATATAGGCACAATTTGAGCTCATTTAATTTGTGTTTCCTTATAGCTGATTTACGAGGGTGGTCTCGTAAGTGGTTTTCATGATTCGTTTCTTGGTGCCATTTAACATTGCTGACTTTATTCTGACTTAGTAGCTTATGACAGATTGAGCACAAAGGTTTATTCTCCTGACTGGTAAATGCGTATTCTTCTTCCAATTCCGACTTTACAACTCTGTTTTCATCTTCGTACTTTTGTTTTTTAATTGAGGACTTATCGCACAGTAACTTAGCAATCAAGCTGCTATACCGCCGACGCATCAAACATTGACCATTGTGACTAAAGATTTGCTGACTTGACTATTCAACGCTACAGCGATTTTCATACCAAAACATAGTTTGTCTTAATCATTGAGGAAAACTTCTTTAATAAATTAAAAGAGTTTACATTAAAGTTTCTCTCTTAGTTAAAATTTGGATAATAATTTATGTTAGCGAGAAGAGCGGCACAAAAAGTCTGGCGAGCCGCGGTGTGCCCATCCCTGGGCTAGATGATTTAGCCGTCTCATTTTCTTTATCTCACCTATGAATCGTCCTGCATTTTATGTAATTCGGGTCCACGTTAGGGCTCCAAAACAAATTCAATACATTCGGTATTCAATATAATATATTCTTGATTTTAAGAAATATTATCTTGTGATTTTGGGGGCCAAAATGTGCACCAGGCAAGAAGATTCAAAACATAGGTTAACTCGATGTTGTAAAAAACTGTCAGCACAATAAATTATTATATTTAGACTTATCTGGTTGGCCTGAAGATGTATGGATTTGTGCAAGTTTTCATCTGAGCATGACTGAATTACAAAATCATTCCAGTTTTGGAAATAATTTTTTAAAACACTCGCTATTGTAAACTATTTGGTATTAGACCACACCTGGCCACGTTTGCCCCTGCTCCAGTTTTCAGCAGAAATAATAACAATAAGCACAACTCTGTTTATTTTTGTTATGTCTAGTGAATTGTCAGTTTCATTCATTTGATGGAATGCATGGTTTTATGTTGTTAAACAGTACATTTTAAATGGTTTTAAACTTTATGGTATTTGTAAATTTACCGCTTAAATGACCATACATTTGATTGATTGATATTTTACTTCTGAACATCTGGACACACCAGAGTTGAGTTCGAATCTTCAATTCAAAGTCCAATGATGCCCATCAAGCATTTTTGAGGTCCTACTATTTGCTGACTGTATGTAGTCAATTAAGACAAAGGCACCGCATTTAATTCATAACTTTCATTTAGTCTAAACTGCAGTCATAAACATGGTCTTTGTAAATAACTCTACATCCCTGTCTCGCTTGCAGGGTGTCATTCATGTATCCTTTCTTTAAATAAAATGTAATATCAAGTTTTTATGCTGCGATAATAAATTGTTAAAAAAATCAACGAGTTCGGAGTTTTATAATCATTTTCTCGGCAGGTTTGTTTCAAGACTACAGAAAGGTGATTTCCCTCAATGTTGGCATTTATGCATTCCAACCACATATTATTGAAACTGCATTCTAAATATATTGAAACATTTAGACATGACAAACAAATTTATTCTTAATACATCCATCCAATCGAGTGAAACGCAGACGGCTCAATCTCCAAGTCCATAACTGTATGAAAGGATTTTCTACTTAACCAGGATAGATATGAAAAATTCCCTTAATCATTAGAGATGTGAATGAGTTAGAACGACAAGCATTTACTTGACAACTTTTCAACAATATTCTACCTCAAGAAAATATACACAGCAGTAAATCTCCATTGGTGTATTTTTTAGAATTATGTTTCAAAATATTTGTAAGATTTCATTAGGAAATTAATATGCTGTGAGACAAAAACAGTGAACAAGGATATAAGTAATCACACAAAATACATAAAATGTGTAATTAGATTGATTTCAAAGGCAAGCTTATGCTACAATTGCATAGTCTGTTGCATTCACTTGAGCATGTTGCAAAATATTTTGTATAATATTAATATAAAGGAAAATATTAAAACAAAAATGAAATGAGAAAAGTTTATGCTTAATAGCAATGCTTCAAATGAGATTATTAAAAAAAAAAAAACCTGATAAATATGAATTAAACCATGAAGTATTATTTCAGTAAAAATGAAAAATTTAAAGAAAGTTTGTTACAAATACAAGACGCAACACTGAAAAAAATCTTACAGACAAAAAATTCAGGTGTGCTTATATAATCAAAATGATAATATTCGCTGTTTAAAATAGAAAACATGTAAACAAACACTATCCTATTTAATTCAAGAGTCTTGCTGCACACTAACACAAATGTGCTTTACTTAAGCTCGTGTTCCCTGATGAAATATAATGTCAAACAACCTTCAAATAATGAACAGTTAAATCATGAGGTTCATTCTTGAAATTTTCAAGCTTGCAAAGACGGGTTTTCCGGACTTAATAAGCTCTTTCTTTCATCTGATTGATCTTCGTCTGAAGAGTTTTCATCACTGTCGGATTCAGGCGGCGAATTTTTCCGTTTGAAGGCAATTACAGCTAAATGGACACCTTTTGCTAACGCCTGAAAAAATCCATTAAGCCCAATACTTCAGAATGAATCATATAACAAAATACAATTCAGAGGAAATATATTTATAGCAGGCATATACTCAGTGACTCAGATGTGGTCAATGTTGGATTTCTGTTACTTAAACTCACTGTAAAATAACCAATTCCACCAAAAGTACTTTGAAGAGTGGCAAATTCTGTTGCAACTGATAAGCGAAAAAAACTTGTGGTGCTTATTAGGTAGCGCTTCATGCTTTATTGCTAACACTCAAAAACAGTACCAGGTGTGCCTTATGTGTGGACAAAATCCAAATCCAAGAAATTTATTGATTGTGCTAATAGTCCTCTAAAAATGAGGAACGTTAGGTAAATAGTATGTATGACTTACCAAAACACACATCAACAACCCCAAGATAGCACAGGAATTCTCAAAGTTAAGTTTCACCACCATGACACCACCAACACTGGGTCCCAATATATCTCCAACAGAGAACATAGTGTTCCAAAGACCCGATACAAGACCATATTCCGCTAATTCATTGTCATGGAGCTTCATTTGTCTGTAACAAAAAAAATGAGGTTAAAAATTCACTAATTTCAACAAATATTGTTGAATATCAGTGTGCTTGCACATGGACTTTGTTGAGAGCGAACAATGTGAATTAGTGTTGTATGCAAATCTGCTCAGTTATAGACTTGAAGAGTTAGTAACACGTTACGCATCGATCTAGCGTTAGAAAAATGCAGATTTGAATTTGATGTGAAATGATCACGAATTCACACAGAGAAAAAATTTTTTTTAGACTCTTGGCATTGCAGGAAGGTTATAGCTGCAGCATTATATATTTGGTCTTGTTTAAGAATTGGTCTCATTCAGAGCTATTATGAAAGCGTACTATTTTAGTCAAGTAGAAGATGAATCAATGTACTCAAATGTGAACGACATATTCTTGGAAACGTACCCAGCACAGGCTGGCCACTAGACTAAATGCCTTAACTCAAACTACGATAGGCTGTCAAATTAAATACTGAAAATGATTCCAAAGTTGTATTGAATATTTTAAATTCTTGATTTGAGGAATAATTTAGAAAAATTTCACAAGGAAAAACCAATATTTCCAGTAGGTCTCACAAATTGACCAAAACAATCAATTTTTCCAAAAACTGTAAAAAAAATTGGTCATATCTGCTGCATCTAACTGTCAAGTCCTACCTAAACAAGTTAACTAAACTAAATAAAAAACATAAAAAAATTACTCACTTCGCGGCGACAACCATTTCTCCAAAAGTTGGTATAACGAGCCCTCCTAAGACCACCCCTGAAGAAGCTGCACATATATACACTAGCCATTGCTCTGGTCCAGTCCAACCAAATAAATCTCGCCAGAAATCAGCAGGACCATAGAGGGATAATACAATTCCGAACAAGAAGCAACTTACGGCCATCATGTGTGGCCCTATCTTCCTGAAATTTGATAAATACATGCTTTATGTGGGATGGTATCTCATGTAAGATAAGAATGTTCTCAGGTGACCCACGCATTCTTTCATAATTCGGGATTTGCTTTTACCAAGAATATTTTTTTTATCTTCAAACAGTGTAAAATTTGTTTAACCAGAATTGGTTTTCGGCGTCTCCTTTCACCCTGGAATGCGGTCTTTTATATTTCCTTTATTTGTGTATGTATAATTCGTACTTTCAGCTTGGTGAAGAAATAAATTACTGATTACTGATTACGTTTGAAATAGAGAAAATGAATCATTACTGATTTAATTGAATGAAACGGATCAATTTTTTTGGTTGCGTAATTGGCGACAAATTCGTTGGAACGCTATTAATATTTTGATATTCGAATTAGGCTTTTGTTGTTCAGAAAAAAATTATATATAGGTTGTTTAATACACTGCCTCAATTTCGTGAAAGTCGTACTATTTGAAGGTATTAAGGCACTGTCTGAAATTGAAGAATCTCAATATTTGTCTGGTGAGGCTTTTATGAAATCAGAAAAAAAAAATACTTCGTTAATTTTGTTAAGATTCGAATCTATAAACGCCCTTTCAGTAAAAATACTACCGTAACTCTTTATACCTGACTCCTGGAACATAAATTTCTGCGATAGAAGAAATCAGAGCAAATACGTTTCTTTCCCTAACAACGACAAAAATCGTTATAATATATAATTATTGTAAGATAAAGAAATCGATTTTTATATTTGAAATACGCGGGAGAAAGTTGAAATGGGATTTTTATATCCCCGCGGCTCATGTTAATTTGGAGGAAATCATAGCAATTTGTCACCGAAATTTTCGATCGAAAATTGGACGAAATAATGATAATAAACGCAGCTTTTGCCACACAGACATCTTGGTTTATTTATTTAAGGCCAGAATTCAATTTGATTTATTTTCTTCAACAATGTTAACCGTTTATCCGACGTGCGATCAATCGATTGATTCTTGAATTCTCGATCAATCTGACAAAATATGCTTATTAAATTATATTCTGAACTAACTTTTATTTTTTTTGTCTATTTATAGAGCAATTTCGTATCTTATCAACACGATACGAGTGAATCACAATTACAATTTGAATAAATTAAACATGATAATTTTAAATGATAGTCCCCCATCAAAAAATAAACATGTAAAGTCGCGCTTCAGTTTTTTGTTGGTTGGTAACGAACACCCAAAGCTTCTTGGATTTAATAACCACGACCGGTATCATATTTTGATTGGCTGGTAGATAGGAAATCGTCCAAGTTAAAAAATGTCGACTAAAGGTTATATCGACGAAACTCACGAGGCTAATTGTGCTGTAAAATGACTAACCGAGGTGGCCGTCATTATGTTAGGCAAATAACCAAATTGGGTGCAGTATTTACATATATATCGCACTTGTTGTTGAAGCGTAGACCATTTGCATACAAACGAATTTCTATTGACAACGTGCATGATCGAGTCAACTGGTTGATTCAACCATTACGGCGAAATCTACGCGGGAATATTGGGTATTTTAACGAATATTTCCAACAGTGTAAAAAACGGAATAATGAGACGAGAAACGGAGACAGTGAAAACGGAAAACTTCATTGTTTCTGGAGCGAAGATCATTTGAATACAAACGAATTTCTAGTAACGTGTTTGTTCGAGCCAAATGGTTGATTCAACCATTATGGCGAACACTGCGGGTGGATATTGGTTACTTTAGCGAATATATTCAACAGTATAAAATGGAATAATTGGACGACGAACGGGGATTGCAAAAACGGAAAACCTCATTTGAATACATTTATTTAAAAATTTGCGCGAACGCATGCGTTACGTCATCGCCGCATTTCAGACAAATAATTTTCCCATAATTTTATCCACTTTTAACAAGGTCGTGTCACAATACTCACAAATCAAAGAAACGTCACGAAGGTCAATTGCGCGGTTGACAATTTTAATAAAATTAGAGGGCATTCCTTTCATGAAACGATAAAAAGGACCGAATTAATCGTTGATCAATCGAATGGACTTAATTTTAGTCGAAAATATTAGGTGTCAAAATTGCTAAAAATGTTACGTCATATTATCAAAGATAGTTTCTGCTATTTGTAGTATATGTCGTACAATTGTACTTGATATAAAAGGCGGTAGTGGCGAATATTTTAAGTTTGGCAATCACGAGAAATTTTTTTACTCGATCAAAAGAAATAGGGTTATTTTATAGAATCGTATGCGCTAAATTTATACTTAATAATGGCGTGGGGTGAGTGAAAATTGTTCTTAACCAGAGAACAATGGTCAAATATATGGACAGGGTGGCCAAAATGAAGTAGTACAGGTATCTTATCTGTTACGGTGTTGTTTGCGCGCAAAGATGGCGGTGTCGCCACCTTGCTCTTTTAACTTGCCTATATTTTACATTTACCTAGCATCGTATTTGCGTTTCTTGCTAACTTAATCTTAATATTGGTGGTCTCGCTACACATTTTTAATAAAAAATTAATCGCATGTATCGTTTTCGATTTTATGAGATAACTAGAGCTTTATTAAAAATTGAAACACTATATCATACCCTTGTCTTAGACGAGTATAGTACGATAATAAGGATAAAATACAAATCAATCGCGGATTATTAGAAACCTTTTGTGGGTGTGTAGTGTATCATAAGAAATGGCGCCTTCCAGATGTCACGCAAAGCAATTCAATTTCCTTTGTTTTGTTTTTCTTAGAAATTTTGTTTTGCATTCATATGGAACGTGTCTCATTTTACAAGAGATTCGACGCACTTCATGAACTTTTTTACTTTCGATTTGAAGCATGAAATAATTCCGAAAGTAAAATTAAGGGAAAATTTTTTCTTTGGTCCTTTTCCCCTTTCTAACCAAGATCCTTAATGGTGCACACAGAGCAAACTCAGCATTTCAATTCATAAGTGAGATATATTCACTCCAATTATTCAAAATTGGCAGCATTATTTCACACTATGAAATACCTCGAAGAGTTATCCCATGATTATAGAATTTATAAGGATCAAGAATTATACCAGAATACTGACATTTTCTAGTAGCATAAATCCTTTAATTTTATTATTTCATGAAATTTAGAGACAGCGGATTATAGACAAGATTATGAGAGCTAAAAATCAAAAAGATGGCGACTATTTGGGCCCGAGGCCACCAAATCTCATTATAGTCCAAATCAAAATCCAGGTCATTTCTTATAAGTCAATATCAAAAGATTATATCTAATACTTCATGGTGCAATTTTATACCATTAAAAATTTTAAACTATGCCAATTTTCCGGTTTTCTAGTCGTTTTATTTAAAAAAAAAAATTTTTAAATTTCAGAAGCGGAAATTGAAGTCGACACTCGTTAGAGAATGAAGACTGGACACATCAAAATCAAATTGATATTGTCGATCCATCAAAATACCATGGTATTTAATCTTCCCATCATTTGAAGCATTTTCTTGCCGAGATATACAGTAGCTTACTTGCTAGTTCAAATTATATATTTTTCCCTACATTTTTGCATTTTCAATCAATTTTTCTCACATTTGTCAAATATAGTCTAGCTGTAACTTAATCAATTTAATCAATTATAGCTGATTTACTAATACAGTATGATGGCATTATTTTATTCATATTAAAATTTACAGTAACAGACAACATAATTCAACGGCAAATTAGCTAGCAGACAATGAATAAGCAAAATTGCAATTTAATTGTTCTACCACACTGAGCTTTATCTAGAAACAAAAGCGTTTGCCTAAGATTGGAAATTTCCGCAGGTTAATGAACTAACCTTGTCTCAGCAAAATATCCCCAGATAGGAGTTGAAATTCCGTAGAAAACACTCATCACTAACATGTAAACACCGACCATGAATGTTGATATATGAAACTAAAAATATAAATATTTCAGTCTGAATTTTTTAAACAGTCAAAAAAAATTAGAGCAATATGCAATCTATATTCACCAGCAAGTTACATCAAACCTTAGAACCATAAACAATTTTCAAATGAAGCAATTGAGCGTCAGAAAAACGAAATTTTTTCCTTATTCTAAAACTGGAATTATTTTAATGTTCTGAGTAAACCAGGGTCTTTAAAATAGTCAAAAATTTTATACAAAAATTGTAATGCTATGATCACATGATATCAGCCAATTTGGATGCCACAAAAAAATTAATAGCAAGACACAGACCATCCAGTCACTCATTTGAGAGTAACTCCCAATTCTGAGTAAATTTTATAGAATATTTTGATAAAATGTAAAAAAAATTATAGACTTATAAACTACATTCCTAATACTTTTAATTATTATCTAACACTGATAAATCAAACATGCAAATACTTACTGAATGGGTTAAAAAAAGTGAAATATTTGCGATGAGAAAACTGTTAACTGTGAATGATAACATAACAAATAAAGCAGAGAAGAGCCCATGAGGATTCAACAATAACCATGCTGGCGAAACGGCATTAGCATGTCTTTCAACTGCAAGAAAGTGAATACAGTATCTGGATAAATTGCCAATACATTTTTAAAAGTAACGCAAAATGAAATCATGTCTAAGGACTCTGAAATTGGATATTGTTACAATTTACGTTCTATGCTTTCGAACAGACAGTATAAATGAAAAACATTTAATTATTATATTATGTGCAGTATTAATGAGTGGAAAACAAATAAATATTGATTAACCAATTTATTCCAGAAAAAAAAATTGACTAATATTTTTGAATATAGGATCAATTTATTTTTAATGTGATAGAACGTCCTCAGAAAATTAGTAGAATAAATAGTTGAACACTAAGGAAATCGCTCACCAGATACGGGCGGTATCAATATTGCGCAACACAGTAATACAAAAAATTGTAAAGTTCCCAAGAACACAAAAGGAACAAGGTAACCACCAGCCTGGAATATAAATTGAAAATGATTAAATGAAGCTATCAATGACACCCTCTTGTTTGCCAAAATTCGGAAACGAAAATAAAGATTTGGTAATAAATTTTACAAAGGTGGTTAGTATACCAGGTTTTGGAGAATAACAATGCAACAGACAGATTGAAATTGCTATAGCCTGTAATAAAAGTTCACATATTAAACCACATTTTCATTAGAACAACTCTAAACAACTCTATCATAAAACAGCTCTATTGAATTTTAAATTAATAATAAAAATTCAACGATTTTCAATTTGAAAAAATTCAAATTGTATAATACATTAAACAAATATATGAGTAATCAAGTCAACAAGAATAAGTCATATGATGAATAGCTGACATTACTCGAACGTTGGAAAAAAACACGTACTTACGTCAAATAATGAGCCACCAATTAACGGACCAACAATCCCTCCTATGGAACAGAGTGACTCTGATATACCAATCACAGTTAGAGCTCGATCAGCAAACTCTTGAAAAATAATTGCAAATAATGCTGTAAAGGCGGCAGCATTACCGATACCCATCATTACTCGACAAAGGAGACAAAGATAGAAAAAAGTATTTGGTGGAGCATAGATCAGCAATCTAAAAATGAATATATTAGGAATAAAACTGGAATTTTATGTAAAAAGTTCCAGTTACATATTAGGTTTAGAATTTAATTGTATATGAAGTCATATATGCAATGATATTGTTTGCATTTTGTAAGTTACCCAATCTATAAGTAGGCTATCTCCTTAATATTGACTATATGCAAGTACATAGGATTGAGAAAACAAAGCAATCTGCAGCATATTTATTCACTACCATGAAAACCGAAGCTCAAATATTTTTCTTGAATATTTACAAAATGGTGTCCTGTTCAGACCGGAACTATTCATGCAATATCATCAGGAATGAATATTTTTTGGAAAACTTTCTCTCTTGGTATGTCACAATATAATAATTAGAATAACAGATATGTTATAAATGGTCTTACCCAAAGCATATCGTGGCTCCAGCAGACCATAACATTCCAGCTAATATAACAAATTTGGCACCCACACGAACAAGCTGAACAAAAAGAAGAAAAATTAGTAATCAATTTTTAGCATAGTATATGATAAACTATGCAGATTTATACAAAACTTGAATTAGATATTATGTGAACATGGGTATGAAAAAGCTATAAAATACTCCCTGATATAAAGATCCAAACAGAATCATCAAACATGATTGGATGTATATTTTGATGCCTATAGTACATTGTGTTTGTAGCTGTATTTTGCTACATAATATAAAGAATGTTTATTCAACCTGCTTTTGGTTAAAATCACCCCTGTACAGAGTTAATTATCGGACCATTTCAGTCATAAGTAAATATTTTCTCTCGTTATATATATATAGCGGACATCAGAGTAGACAGTAAACTAATTTTATATTGGTGATATCTCTATGAAATACATAATAATATAACAGAATCCTAATGCAAATAAAGGATTCTAATATGGGAGCATGACACAGGTTGGTGCATAATATCATTACTGATTAATTACATGGCATAGAATTAAATACTATAGTTATTATATGAGGAAAAATCCATTTGTTTAGAAAAAGGCGACGACAAGCACTCAATCGATTCCTAATTAATAATAGATTATCTAGTGACAATTTTAGAAATACTAATGTGCTAACAGCTGTATAATATTGAATCTTATAGATTTTTGCAACCTCCAACGACCATAATAATTTAATGGTGTTGATATGAGCGCAGTAGTACTTTGTATTGAGTCAAGTACAGAAAATTCAAAATGATTCGATTTGTGCAGTTCAAATATGACCATAAAGAGTTCATCTGAATAAACATTTGTATTAAAGATAGTAGGTAAATTATGATGTTTTGCCAATTTGCCATACTTGTAGTGGACTAACCCTTATGAGATATTATCGACATTTATCACTTTTCTAGCACATTGAAAGTTTTCAAAGAGTAGAATAATTTTAATAAATATCATCTCACCAATGCCCCTGTGAGAAATGATCCAAATATACCAGCCATTGAAAAGGCTGAAAATACCAAACCAATGTCAATTGGTGACAAATTCTTCTCTTCTGCCTGAGGAACGAGAAAACGTTTAATATGCATTTTAATATTTTATTAAGAGAAAGGAATTAATTGTTTAGCTACAAATTAATGCTTTCTATCCTTTAACATATACAATCTTCACCCACAAATGGCCCGAAGAAGTTCGAATATAATCAGAATTTATCATCTTTGATACATCTATTAATTCATTAATATTAATTTATTTACGGTATGTCGTCACACTCACCACCACAGGAAAAAATGGTGCAACAATTGAGAAACCCATTGTGTCAGATATTGATAATATACTTAATGCAAATAAACATTTCAGTTGTCTTTTAGAGAAGCCACACCATCTTGAATTCGTAATTTCAATATCTTCTTCATTATCAACCTGAAAAAAAATTGACGATGTAAATTATTTCTAAATGAAAAAAAATAAAATTGAGGAACATATTTTAAGGTTAAATAACCGAGTGATTTTATCTATGGAGTCAATTCAGTTGACATATTATGAAACCAAATTTCCCATTTTGATACCATGCTTGATAAATGATTCTGAACAAAAAAAATTTTGAATCAGTTTATTTTACTGAAGTGTTCTTTATCATCCAATCACATACAGAGTTGCAAGTAACCAAGAAGATGAGGGGAATACATTATTGAATGCAGTGTCTTGGATTCTACATGAGCAAGTGTCAAAATTTTCTATGGCATAGTATAGTTCAAGAATTTGGACAAAATAGATTTAAATAAAAACAGAAGTACATTCTCTTACCTCTGTAGATCCTGAGAATTCCACATCAGAGTAGTCCCCACTTTTATTTTGATTTCTAGACAAACTATTATCTCTCCATTTATCATTTTCTTTTGAATTTCCCTGACCTTCGAAAAATGAAAGACTCCTACTAGTCCTTGGATTACAAGTCATATATGGAAGTGAATATGATCGAGATCTCATTGCTTCAGAATTGCTGATTGAATTTTCAAATGTGTTATACTGCCTCATACGACTGTTAGTCCGTGGAATAGATCCATTTGGAAAAATAACATCATCATTTGCATGAGTATTGGTAGTACAAGCAGAATCATAAGAATGACTCTGCGAATTCTGATTAGTCCATTCGTCACCCCTCATATTTATATGTTATTTTCTTCGTATTCTGAGTTAAATCCACTTCATCGAATGATGTAAATATCAGAAGTTTGGTGGAGAATATCCTATATAATCTATATTTTGATCCTAAAATATATATCAATATAAACACATTTTGAAATGATAAAAGTAATAGGAATACATCAAAACATTCATAAAAAAAATTTTTCAGTACATTCACTAATCACATTGAAACAAACCAGGTGAATGTAAATTGGTATCTAAAACAATTGCAATTATATTTTCAGTGTTTAGTATATTCGTACTACAAGTGTTTAAATACAGAACATAATGGAATTGGATTATCAGATTTATTAACAGAAGGATAAACAAGACATATTACCGTATGTAGAAAGTTTGGCATCATCTCATGACTGTGCAAGAATTCAAGAATCAAAGTATGGTGACTTGAAAGAATAAGCTGAATCATCATAGAAATTGATATCACAAACAATATTATTCTAAGTTACGCCGATTTCATAACAAAATAATATTCATTGCTTTCCAAAGAGAATGAAATCTTTGCAATCTACAGAGCTGAGTTGCCACATTTTAGCAGCAAAATATAAAAAAAAACTTGGAAATTCAGCTAAAAAAACACAAGCACAGTAAAAGAGAACATTATTTAAAGCACCAAAATATCTCAGAATTGAAAATTTGGCAAATTAAAATTTTTAGGGTTTCATTTTAAATATTTAAACACTCACAAATTGCAAAGACTAACTTTCACAGTTCTCTGCCCTATGATGCATTCACTAGCTTTATGATAGTTTATCATTCAATAATACATAATTAATAGGTATTCACAATGGAGGCCTAAATCTAAACATCATTTCCTATGTTTAATCGGCAACTTCAGTTCAAAGGTCGCAGAAACTTGAGCTTTGATTGTGATGGTGTTTGCTTTCACTCGTTGTTGAAGATCAATTGAGGTCGGATTTCCAAGTAAAACGTGGTCTTCCTCATTTGTCTGACAATTGGAATTTGAGCCCAAAGTCTCATCACAAAAATCTTCTTTCACACAAATTGGGCGACCAATCGTTTGGCCAAGCATACGACAAACTTCTATTGCTTTTTGCCGAGCATTTGCAAGTGCCGTTAAGCATGCTTGTTTACGAATACCTTCCAATTTCTGCTTGTCATGCATGAGCTGAGGCCTTAAGACTTTCACTGTGTCATCAAGTTTTTCAACGAATAAATTGTGCAATTGCATACATTTGTGGACGCTGTTGCGAAAAGTAACATCAACTTGAGCTTCCATTACGTAAAGACATCTTGCAGCATTCCTTGACAAATTCTTAACAACAATCATATCACCATCCTGGACTCCATGATTTTTGAAGGTTTGTTGAACATATTCAAGACGCCTCAAAACACTGTTTTTTGCTTCATCAGAGGCAGATTTTTCACTTCTGATGACAACAGTCAAGACGCAAATGCTAGGTGCTACCATAAGTTCAGCTGAACCGGTAACTTGAACCTCTCGTTTCGGTGCACGCCTACAATCAACATGCTCTTTGTCTTGCAAGTTTTTATCTGGTTTCAAAGAAGCAAATATGTGGCTCGGTTCCAAAATATTACGATCGCACATTTTGATGATCTACTACGGATAAATTGAGATATTTGTTAATAAATTGCCACTTTAATCTATATCGAAGATTCAATTAACGCCACAATTTACTTTCTTGTAGTATACTGGTATAGGCTAATAGACTTTGAAGCAACAAAAAAAGTGAATCTCCGGACAGGAACCCACAGAAAACTGTAAACCCCAAGAGACAACGCAAGTAGACTTTAAAGTTCAACTGAACCGATTGCGACATAACGCGCTTATATAATGACATCAAAGTTACTCAACCGTATCAAAAATCAAAACAATAAACGTCATTTTTTGACTCTAGCGGCGAGAGGTCGCCGATGACTTTAGATTCGCGATGAACTTGATTGCAACTACAAAAATTGTGAAATAAACAATACTTGTGGTAATATGGTGATGCTTGTTGTTAAAGTAGTGCTACGGGTTCGGTTCGGGATTGTCGGAAATGTCATTAAAATTTTCGAAAAAAATGAAGAGTCCCTGTGATTGTGACGAGTTTAATTTTGTGTAAAGTACTTGTCGGCACATGTGCCCAGGGATTTTCCTTCATATAAGTTATAAATAGTTTTATCACTAATAACAAAATACCTGGAAAGTATATATTTCCTAAAGTTGGAAACACCTACGGTGTATACTACTACGGTCTGAGACATGCATTTTGCTTTGCCTGGCTTGGTCGGCCAGTGAGCATCCTTTCTTTTCATTGAAGTGGTTCGGTAATTTTCATATATAACCGGCGAATGTTCTACTGACTGTTATTTAGATGTGAGATATGTGTCGCATTCGTATATTATTTTTTGCACTATCTATGTTTTTTTGTGTGCTGTAGCTAGACGATACTCACTTGCATGCTGTATACAGTTTTCATAAACCTTAAATTGCATTTGTTATATTTGTGTTTTGGCAATGCATCAATCTTTCTCTGAATAAATACGACAAATTTTTATGTAACATTAGATTTCTCCTTTAAAAAAATATTGCACCATATAAGAACCGCAGCCACAACTTTTTTCTTTTTGAATTCTAGTTTATTGTATAAATAAAGTATTGCCATGATCTTCTTTTGATCAGTGTCTCACATCCTAACTTGATTTAAAAGGTATTGCCCGATTTTTTAGCGTGTCTTCATTTTATTTTCTTCTTTTGACTGTTTTAGGTGGACGGGCACGTACTTGTACGTTTTTAACTTTTTCATTAAGTTATGCCCGTCTTCCAGGTCCTCTAAATTTTGTTTCACGTTTGTTGTTGTTTTGTTTCTATAAGTACGAGGAACCCACAGAAAACTGTAAACCCCAAGAGACAACGCAAGTAGACTTTAAAGTTCAACTGAACCCACAGAAAACTGTAAACCCCAAGAGACAACGCAAGTAGACTTTAAAGTTCAACTGAACCGATTGCGACATAACGCGCTTATATAATGACATCAAAGTTACTCAACCGTATCAAAAATCAAAACAATAAACGTCATTTTTTGACTCTAGCGGCGAGAGGTCGCCGATGACTTTAGATTCGCGATGAACTTGATTGCAACTACAAAAATTGTGAAATAAACAATACTTGTGGTAATATGGTGATGCTTGTTGTTAAAGTAGTGCTACGGGTTCGGTTCGGGATTGTCGGAAATGTCATTAAAATTTTCGAAAAAAATGAAGAGTCCCTGTGATTGTGACGAGTATAATTTTGTGTAAAGTACTTGTCGGCACATGTGCCCAGGGATTTTCCTTCATATAAGTTATAAATAGTTTTATCGCTAATAACAAAATACCTACCACCCCCTAAAGTTGGAAACACCCCCTCTAAAATAAAAAGCTGGGGAACATACTGCATGTGCCTCATTTTAGATCTTGTAAATCGCAAAAACTTTGTGTGTCTAAGCGTAAATATATACTACTACGGTCTGAGACATGCATTTTGCTTTGCCTGGCTTGGTCGGCCAGTGAGCATCCTTTCTTTTCATTGAAGTGGTTCGGTAATTTTCATATATAACCGGCGAATGTTCTACTGACTGTTATTTAGATGTGAGATATGTGTCGCATTCGTATATTATTTTTTGCACTATCTATGTTTTTTTGTGTGCTGTAGCTAGACGATACTCACTTGCATGCTGTATACAGTTTTCATAAACCTTAAATTGCATTTGTTATATTTGTGTTTTGGCAATGCATCAATCTTTCTCTGAATAAATACGACAAATTTTTATGTAACATTAGATTTCTCCTTTAAAAAAATATTGCACCATATAAGAACCGCAGCCACAACTTTTTTCTTTTTGAATTCTAGTTTATTGTATAAATAAAGTATTGCCATGATCTTCTTTTGATCAGTGTCTCACATCCTAACTTGATTTAAAAGGAATTGCCCGATTTTTTAGCGTGTCTTCATTTTATTTTCTTCTTTTGACTGTTTTAGGTGGACGGGCACGTACTTGTACGTTTTTAACTTTTTCATTAAGTTATGCCCGTCTTCCAGGTCCTCTAAATTTTGTTTCACGTTTGTTGTTGTTTTGTTTCTATAAGAATGACCAAAATAAGATTGATTGATTCGCGTCTATTATTCGTTTGTGCTCGGGCATTGTCCTAAAGGCATTGTCTGAGACTCTAAATTCTGCCCATTATGTCTCGATTACATCGACTTTGCGTTTCACTGCTGATTCGCTTTCATTTTCCTGTCTCCTTCGCGTGTTACCTTCTCATTGCTATGTCCGTGGTCAACGACCATCGATTGAATATCAGATTCAGAGTATTACGACATTATTGATCTATTTTGCTTCGATTTCTAAAAAAAAAAACGTCAAAAGCAACTGTTTATACGGTACAATTTGCGCAATCTTCTTTGAAAACGTTTTACATTGCGTCATTACATTTTTGGAAGAAATATTCTGTTGCTCAATAATGTTTATCATCGATCCAAGCTTTATATTTATTATTTACCCCAAGGTATGTAGAGAGACGATGGAGAATTCGACCGCGGCGCTTGCAAACATGTAATACAGAAAATGCGTCATTGTTTACTTCCGATATTGCAACACCCATTTGACATGTACTAATTGCGCCACTTAACGATTCATATCAAAATGGCTAGCCAAATCCGCGAAAAGTTCTCGTTATTCCTGTCAAAATTCAATTCTTTGATTAAATGGGTCAGGAAACATCGTGAAAAAAATCTTATATTTAACAAAATGTACAAAACTTATGAATTTTATGATTAAAAAGTGAAGGAAAATAATATGAAAGTGAAATATGGTTCCGTTACAGAATGCGGATTGTAGACTCATAAGTTGGAATCCGGATTTTAAGATTCATTTTTGTCAATCGGATACAACTCGTACGCAGCTCCATGACTCTGGCCAGAATATAACGTGTTTCAATTTCGTTGCAATTGACGATGACAAGTGTACATGGTGCTTAAATCAGCAGGTGGTAGTATCCACCGCAGTGCACGCAATGATGGGGAAACGCATTTTTATTTAATCTCATTCTTCCGTCTTAGCTGTAGCATTTATTTTGTATAATTCTAATATGCCACGATTTAGAGTATTAGATAGATTACAAGGCAATGAAAGTACGCTGTTGATATGTTTATCGTTCATCCATCTTAATGTTTCACGTATAATTTTCTCATCCTTGTTTCTGTCCGCTTCTCATACCATCTATAAATTCTCAGAAATGATTGGTGGCTTTCGATATCCCTGGTGGCAAATCTTTCTTGTAAGTGGTCTCGGCTGTAATGATCCTTTCATGTTGTTATCGTAATATACTTCGCCAGTAACAGATATCAAGAGAGCTCTGTATACAAAATGGATTTTAATAAAACTTTAACACTTATGCAAAATTTCTTCAAAATTATTGTTTCTCCACGGAGCACATGCTAGGCGTCTTCTCGTGATAAGAATCATCAAGAAACATTTGACTATGTGTCTTAGATTAATTTATACAAACTACCATTGGTTTGGTAAAGAACACTTTTGGGATTGGCCGCAAAATTGCAAAGATAGCAATGTCAGATATATGGTACAAAGGCTCGTGACCGTGAATATATGCTATTCGTTGAGAACCTCTTCATCTTAATACGTATGTGGGAAATTCATCTAATTTTCCTCAAATTGATTAAAATTTGAGATAAAATGACGGGAAGTAGTGAAAAAGGGTAACTTAAAAAAACTATAAAAGTAAAGTTCTTCCGAAAGATATTTTCACATTAAAGCACTAAAAGTAGTTAGGAAGATACGATTTCGCAGACTACTTGAATCAATGTAGCATTCTGGGTTTTAATGGTTATAGTTATCTTTCTTGCTACGTGTCATTCATACTATTAGGAGGTGTCTGGTAAGTACCTCATAAAATTTACCTGAATGTTAAGCAGCCTCGCGGTGGTGCTATAAAGTGGAAAACAATTCGTTTCATTCTTTTTCCCGTCCTTGATAATATCTTTCCGCCACAACGAGAATTAAATTTGTGTCTTGCCTGGTATATTAAAATAAAGTCGTTATAAATCGTTTTTTTTCTGTTTTCAGCACAATAAATATCGAATATATCATATCTTATTTACCCGTTTCAATATTGGTAATCCGCAATCTCCAGCGTCGTTGTGTATTGATAAGTAGACCGACTTAAATCTTAAAGCTCGGTTGTTTGTGAATATTTCCACTAAAATAGGAAATAGTGTCACAAATATATCGCTATTTGTGAAAATTATACAATAATATTGTTAGATTTGATATCATTTACAGGATTCATCTGTTAATCTATACAAATATTTCACACATGGGATATTTCATCTTCAACCATCTTCATAACAATAAGATAAAACATGTTTGCATACCAATCAATTTCCCTTTTGGTTGGTAAAGATTTTCTCCGTATGGTCTTTTTAATTCAAGTTCGTACAAAGGTGTTTCAAGGTTTGCAGATTGCCAGTTCGTTCCCAATGGCCCACGTTCATCTCCGAGATTGCATTCTAGTATGAAATATATAACAAGAGTGTAATGCTCAAAT